TCCAACCGGTGACACCGGTCACAAACACATGCAGAGCCAAGCAAAGCACAAGAGCCGCTTTTCACCTTAGTGAGTATTCCTGATTTAGAACAAGCCAGTCGATTAAGATAATGAGAGAGCGGTTTTACGCCGCTTTCACTAACATCCATGCTATATCACAACAGCCTGGTCCCACAATGGCCTTCCCATATCGTTCCCTTATGAAGAATTCAGCCCGGGTTCTCAACGTGACAAACGGACACTACAAACACCACCCTACCATACGTCCAGCCTGGTTCCCTGGGTCTGTTGCGCCTGCGCTAACGCTCCGCCATACGTCCTCAATCGCGAGAAAGCAAACAGGCTCAGACGGAGCTGTGAGACGTTTATCTGGAATATCTGGATATCGAAAGGTTCCTGATAATGGCCAGGTTAGATTATTGGCTTATTCTCGGGGCACTTGCAATACAAGCATCCTCGCCACAAAACCTATTCCTTAACTCATCATGAACACAGGGGAGGGTTCTGGGGCAGAATGGGTCCCCGGGGAGCCGTTCCACAAAGTGGATTGGACGCTACTATGGCCTTATATCTATGTTACTTAATGTCGAGGCGGTACGGCAGTAAGGTCGTACTGGGCAATGGACCATGTATTTGTGAAAAAAAGGCCGTATGATAAACATGGAATGCGTAAGTTTGGTTTTACGCCGCCTTTAACAATATGCCACAATGTAACGGCGGGGGACACCAGAAATGGGCTTCACATATTGTATATAGTGGGAATCGAACCGGGGTCTTTGGCGTGACGAGCTAACGCTTTAACCACTAGGCTACACCACCGTCCCTACGGTGAACTTTGAAATATGTTGGGATGTGTACCCGATTTGGAAACCCTTAACGGTGACTCGGGAACTGTTCTATACAGGATACCCCTTTGGTTCTCGCACTCAGCAATATTCCAGCTACATGGCGTCGATCTGTAAACAATCGAGTCTGGACCAGACAATCCAGTGAACTGCATAAACATCGATCTATGCATTTGGGATACGATGACATGTGTCAACCAAGTCAGCGAGCCTGACCACCCGATCCAGTTAGTCGCCTCTTACGACAAGCATGGGTTACTGAAGACCAATTCTAACCCGGATCTTCACGGGTGGTTTTACAGAGATATGTCATTCTTATAACATGGATACGAGACTAGACACATAATAATCCTGTTATTGTGTTATCCTTCAATTCAATGGGAGGTAACTGTGGTGGTGAGACAAGAACTGTTCCTCTGTGTGATACCTGGCGTCGTCAAGAACAAGTCATGGCGACCAGTCACGTCTGTTGCAGTTGTCATTGACCTCATTGACCTTATGTGCTGAAAACGCGCTTCCTGGGAAACAATAGACAAATATTGCTGAATGCCACACCAATACAGAAACCCGCGAGAGGTGGGTGGCAATCGCACAATATCGTATTAACTGGAAACAAAGGCAATCGCCAGTTTTCCTATGGCCAGGAGACATCATTTTCAGCCAGAAGCTTTCAGTGGGACTTCTTTGGCCTGTCAGAAATGTTTTCAAAGTTGAGTTTCTCGCGAATTCGATCATAACCAATTGGACTGGACATTGTGTTGCTATAAATCCACCATTGGGGTTATTTTTTAATTGCATTGTGACCCAGTATCGCAGCTAATTGGGCGGCTGATTTGAGATTGTGAGAACAACGGAATGGATGCAGGGGCCGTGTGTAGATTTACAGACATCAATCACTGGGTTTTGTCTCAGACTGGGTTATGTACATACCGCCGTTAAATAGCTGGAGTATTTCCGACTGCCAACGCAAACGTGGAACCAAGGAAAACCCATTGACAGCGTGTTCACAAAACCACAAAAACAGGTCACGGGTTATCAGTCTTTGGTTATAACGTCAATGGTGTCAACATTTGCAAGATTCCTTTACCAAGGAAGTTTATCTTAAACTTCAGGATTTGCGTCACTTTTTGGCAGATTGAAACGATTCTATAGTGGTGAGTACTTGTCTGGGTCCCGATCCACAAAGCGGTCGTACCGTTACGACCTGTCGCAACTCTATAGTTTTCCATTGGTTTACGAATGTAGAAACGCTGGGAATGCTTTGTGGTTCGGGACCCTGGAACATATATCTATAGTAACCAGTAGAAACTGAAGAAATGGCATCCGATGTATTTAAGTCCGACTGACTTTCAGTCAGATCAGCCTGAGCTACATACTGTGTGCTCCTGATACATTCACTAACAGATGTGTTTAATCCTTAATGCCAGCTACACCCTATGCATATGACCAGCGGCCTATAACTAATAAGGTCTGGACCAGACAACCAGGAATATATATCCTACCCATTATGAACAGGATTTGGTTTGGTTGTTGTTTAACGCCGCACACAGCAGGATTCCAACTATATTTAAATAATCGAGTATGGACCAGCTAATCCCGTGATCAACAGCATGAGCGTCGATCTAATCAATTGGGATACGATGACATGTGTCAACCAAGTCAGCGAGCCTGGGCACCCGATCCAGTTAGTGGCCTCTTACAACAAGCATGGGTTACTGAAGATCAATTCTAACCCGAATCCTCACACCTTATTCTGGTATTAAAGTGTTTGACAATGACCAAATGTACGGAATGGTAATGGTAAATATAGAGATATAGAGATATTTTATGAACAACGGTTCCCGCAGACAGAGTACAAGTGTTTGCCACTGATATGACAATGTCCCCCGCCGCTAAAGAATGGAATATTTACAACATATTTACTGCTTTTTAATTTTTGGTCACATACAAGATGCCTGAAATGACTGGTGTCTGCATAATCACCCGATGTAGGCTGTCGACATAATTGATTATGATTATGAGATATCGCGTTAACAAGAGTTTCAAAAGTGGTCAGGGTGTCGTGGTGACCTTGAAGATAAGGTCATGGTCACCCAAATCGACTGGTGTCTGGGTAATCCCTCAATGTAGGCTGTCACCAAATTTGAAGACATTGGGTACAACAGTTCATGAGATATCGCGTTAACAAGAGTTTGATAAGTGTGTCGTGGTGACCTTGAAAATAAGGTCAAGGTCACCCAAATCGACTGATGTCTGGGTAATACCCCAATGTAGGCTGTCACCAAATTTGAAGACATCGGGTACAAGAGTTCCTGAGATCTCGCGTTAACAAGAATCGGGACGTACGTGTACGTACGTACGGACGGACGCTGCTGAATACATAGTCCCCCGTTCCGCGTTGCGGCGGAGGACAATTACATGCAATCAACTAAGTTAAGAAGTTTTACCATTCCATTCGTGAGGTGTTCTCTTCCAACCAGTACAAGCTGCTGATGGTCTTTATAGACTTGGAGAGTCCACTGCGCTCAACAGCACTGGACAGGTGGGTGATTTTAGTTTTAGCATTCAACATTCCAGCAACATCACGGCGGTGACACCAGAAATGGGCTTCACACATTGTACCCATGTGGGGAATCGAACCCAGGTAATCGGCGTGACGAGCGAACGCTTTTACCAGTAGGCTACCCCACCGCCCGCAATAGACAGGACTTGTGTGGTCCGATGGTTTAAGAAATGGACCAATATCATCAAACAAGAGAAAGTTTATTCAAAGAATTAACAATAAAATTTCATTTAAAAAATTCAACTTAAAAATATTAGTAATTCAAAACTATATGAATTGGACATCACAGTATCTCAGTAACGCCATACATTATATTGCTACCATTCTCCTAAACTAAGTCTAGATAAAATTCAAAATATGTAATCGTCTAATAATCTAATATACATAAATACTGTGATAACATGTCAACCAAGCAATGAATCTAATATTATATCCTACAGGTGAATGCTCGCATAAATAAATGCATTTCATTTGCACTATGGATATTTAATCATTATTCTATAAAAGTAAAAAAGTAAGACAACGCATCAAATTATTCAGATGTCTCCAACATATATTGTTAACAACGGATGTTGTAACTTCATGAAGCGAAAACCCATAATGATCAGAGATTTCACTGAAATAATATATTATTTATACAATATAATATATATGGCCGAAATGTCTCATTAAAATGATCAAAACAACACTAAGGTTAGTTAAAAATGAGCTGTTTTAGCCAACATTTCTGGGATAACGTCTTTAGACTATAACCCAATGTTCACAATTCACAATTTTAAAGTATCACTTTACTTAATGGGAATGTTATCCCAGCTTCACGGATAAGGTCGCCTAGAAGCGAGGCCTATTAATTATCTACTGTTTCCTCTGTTCAAACACTTAACCAATATATTTGATGTTCCCTTGGCTCTTTCTAACGTTACCATTCCCGTGTAATGGTTCGTATCGACAAAGGTCCGTTAACTACAGTCCGGGGATGTCCAAAGTTGTATCATCCAAGTTCCAAAGGCACTACGGTGTCATTATTGGGAAGGGAAATTTAACAAATGGCTCTATCTAATCGAACATCTGTTACCCTCGGTCCTACTTTAACAACCGCCATCGCTCCGTGATGAAGATTGGGGAGATCAGTTTGATACATAATTGAATGATAACATGTTTCAAATATATACAGTATCAACAGTGACGTCACAATCAATCGTTTGTTAATATTAAACACCAACACCAGGTAATCTTGATTGTTCGAAACAGATGTAGTTGGTGTAAGGAATCATACTGTTCTCACTTTGCTAAGGATCAAATCATGTATTCAACAGAAAACTATCATGTGGGGTCAAATTTGGTATGAATATCTAAGCTTATTGTAAGCATGGTTCCTAGGCTTCAGTATGTCATTGCATCTTGTGGATCCCATACCTGTTATTAACAGGTGTTGTTTATTTGTCAATGACCCGTTCCATGATGAAAACCATTTTTATGGTTACTCATGTATCAAGTGCATAAGGTTAGAATACAGTGGCTGTCTGCCTAAAGAGGGGTTATCATATTATTGTTTATCCAGTTTTAAATGAATACAATTTTAAATTATAAATCTACGTTTAAGTAAAGTTGTGAATTTTTGTGATCCTTATCAAAGTGTGAGTTGTATATATGAAAGCGGTTACAATTATGTGAATGGATCATTGAAAATAAGAGATGACAAAAGGTAAGTGACATTCAGTGCGAGATGACAAGAGATTTAGAAATGAAGCAGCTCTTAAAGCACCGAAACTGCTCAATATGATAAGCAAGCTGGTGCACTAACCATGATGCCTATGTACCGGTCAGGAATGTTGACAGTGTACTTCTAATAATAAGGCCACTGTTGAATTCCACGCCGTACGGGCATGCTCTAAGTGCATACAACAAAATGGACATTATGTTCAAACAGCCTAACACAGAAGGTTAACAGTCATATACCATCTTATTCCACCCATTCACTGCTGGTGTTTCTATCACACATTATCATACTCAGCATAAAATCATAAAACTCATTCATGAAAGAACCATTTTACCCAAATAAGCGTTTCCATGGACGCTTTTCATTCCATATTATTTGTTCACAGACTCTGCCACAACGAAAAGACGTTTTCGAGTAACGGTTTCCCAGAAATTTCATTTGGTGAAGTATATGGGCACACCAAATCCGCCTCTGAGCGGCAAGGATCTTTTGTTCCTGGGTTCTAATCCCAAATACTCACCGATTATGATAATTGACCTCGCAGTCCCACCCCGTGATCAGTGCCTACGACCTGCTTCACCTCCGACTTTCCTTAGATATCAAATTAATTGGACATAACGGTTACTGTCATGATGAAGCTATCATGTTCTCTTTATTCTCGTTCCTTGGATCTTCCGTTAATTCTCCGATTCTCTACCGGCATGTTTCCATGGCGATAGTGTTGTGATGACTGCTTGAGCCTTCGTCACTTGTACATGTTGTCACCTGAGGTTGATGTTGGTCATGACAAGACATGTACGCATATGGGATGATGTACTGAAAAGACAGATGCCATCACAAAATGTTCAGCTTGAAGCATCGCCCTGTGCCAGATGTCCTGATCGGTGTGTAGTCGGTGAAGTTGAGGTCAACCAGTCATGGTATCTACACTCCTGAAACACAGTACATCGACATCTATCTGAAACCTAAATACATGACACGTCGTTATGAATAATAACCCCTTTTTCTTCTTTATACGACGTTTCAGAGCTAATTCTTGCTCCTTCATCAGGTTTATCTGCAACCTGTATAAATGTAATTTAGGTTCTCTGCAAAATATACAAAAGTTAAAACGATAACTGTTCCTCCTGCTAGTCGTTGTTTCTAAATTAAAGTCTTCATATTTCCGGGATTTATTATGTTAAGTTAACATTCTGATGAGATTCTTGAGAGGCATATAGAAGTTGGTATTCAAGTATAAGACAAAATATTATGGATGTCAATTTCTTCTTTATTGTATACACAACGTTTCTGGGCTATTCCTTGCCCTTCGTCAGGTGCGCCTTCACCTGACGAAGGGGCAAGGAATAGCCCAGAAACGCTGTGTGTACAATAAGGAAGAAGTTGACATCCATAATATTTTGTCTTAAAGTTAACATTCATTTCACACGAGAGACTTGACTCAGGTTAATCTGCCCTCGTCATTCAAGGTCAAATTTTGATGCAAGCGAATCAAGATAATTCTAACGTCGCTCAATCTAACAATCAATGTCAGAACAAATTACACAGGTTGCGATCGTACACAGTCTGTATATCACTCAGTCACACAAAAGCAGGCATTCCACATCACTCTATATCACCAACTATGTTACCCACCCACGAGTATGTATGTACCTCAAAGCTGTGGTGAGACAAGAACTGCTCCTCTGTGTGATACCTGTTGTCGTCCAGAACAAAACTGTCATGGCGACCATTCACGTCTGCTTCAGCTGTCATTGACTTAGTGTGTTGGAAACGTGTTTCCTGGGAAACAAATATCGCTGAACTCACTCCAATACAGAAACCCGAGAAAGGTGGGTGACAATCGCACAATATCAGAAAGGGCAATGTTTATTCAAAAACGTTACTTATTGTTAAAAAGTTGAGAATATCGGCACATCTGTCTCACCTCGAAACTAAAATCCTCAACATGTCTACCAGAAACGCTGAGTCGTCCTTCACCAGTGTTCAACAACAGTGTTTCAGACCTGCCATCAACGTCACTTCCGGTGTCGGACTGGCCAGCGACCTCTTGTTCCTTAAGCCGCGCTTCCTGAAAAAAGGTGAATATGTGAGTGAATGTTATTTGGGGTTTTTTAGTTTGTTTTTACGCTATTCTCAGCGGTATTTCAGTAAAAACATGACGCGTCAGTTCGGCCTGAGGCGAATGCAAGGACTGATGCAGGTGTTAAACATGTACCGCTATATTGAAACGCACAATACACGTTGCTGTTGATAAACCTAGAAACATTATCGGTGAGGAAAAGGTAATCACGCCCACTTTCATAGTTTCATGACAAGCGTAAAGGTCGCAGGTAGAGTTGATAAACATATCTCTCGTTACCAATCAGAAACCAACCGTCATTAATTTTCATGTCGTTGACTACATACTAAAGTCTATGGGCACTTACTAGTTTCGATCCGAGTAAGCTTCCTAGAAATAATCTTCCTCTACGACAACTCGTGTTTTGCAATGGTCAGATGTGTCTTATGTCAGCCATGGACCGCCTCCGTGGTGTAGTGGTTAGAGCGTCCGCCCGGATAGCGGAAGGTCGCTGGTTCGATCCCCGACCGCGTCATACCAAAAGACGTTAAAATATGGTACTTGTTGGTCCCTGTCTGGCGCTCGACATTAATGAGTACAATAAGGACTGGTCGGCTCGGAGTCAGTATAATGTGTCTGAGTGGGGTATTCATGCTTCACTGCGGCATGGAATCTCAGTGGGCTAGCACTATAAAACCAGCTTCAGTCTGGGCTAGTACAAGCAGCCGCGCACACACATACACACGCATGCACGTCGTCATATGAGCGAAATATTCTCAAGCACGACGTTAAACCCAATTTCACCTCACCTCACCTTATGTCAGCCATGAGCGAATAATCATGGTGATCAAATGTATTGGGTTTTGACTCTGATGTTTCACACTACCGTACCTACCTCAAAGCTAGTGTGGTGTAAAAATACCGACTCCGACTGGAACCTTCCCTCGGGTGTGGTCTGGGTGGCGTGTCGCGGAGCCTTGGGGCCGAATAGTGGACGGGGCTTCAAGTTATCCTGCACAAACATCTATCAACATGTCAGTATCATATATATCATACGCCACACTCGGCAACATTCCAGCTATGTGGCAGCGGTCTGGAAATACTCGAGTCTGGACCAGACAATCCAGTGATCAACAGCATGAGCATCAATCTACGCAACTGAGACACGATGACATGTGTCAACCAAGTCAGCGAGCCTGACCACCCGATCCCGTTAGTTGCCTCTTACGACAAGCATGGGTAACTGAAGATCAATTCTAACCCGGATCTTCACGGGTATAATATCAAGGACCGGGTGAGTATACGTATTACAGTAAACCCTCCTTTGTCCAGACACCCTGAGATTCTACATACACGGTTAGTCATCCTCAATTTCGTTAATCCGAACAGTTGTACAAGAACCACACGGATAAACGAGGGTCACTGTGCTGGAATACGAAATTATGACCCAGACAGATGAATAGCTTTACTTGAATCATGTTAATTTTGTATTGTCGGGGTTATTTTAAGAGCGGAAGCTGTGGGTTAGAAGCTTATTTGAATTCATGCTTTTATCATTTCGTATCAGGTGAAAATGGCAGTAAGGGTCAAAGCGGTTCAGTTTTTAAACAGTAAATGACTTTCAGCAACACAAACAACATCGGTCGGTCAGGGTCCCGGACTTTGTTAATGCATATCAACATGTCCCAGCTGCACAGATCGATGTTCATGGTGTCAATCACTGGATCGTCTGGTCCAGACCTTCTTACAGCACAATAACACGACGCACTAAACATATCGATGTTGAACCCGGGACCAACCGATCTCGAAAACGAGTTGCCTCCCCCTTGAAGAACAGGACTACCTTGTTCTCTGGTAAACCGTTGTATGGGAACGCTGCTGGGCAATATTTGTAACACGTGAGGGTCTGCTTGGTGTAATCCGTTTCCTTCAGACAGGTCTGGGCGGTAGAATGCTTACAGAGCGATCAAATCAATGTCACCAACAATCATACATGTCTCACAAAGAACCAACATTTTCTTTGGCTGAAACGCAATTTCTGAATCCGATTACAAGCATAAACTCGGGATTGGTCAATGGTCTATATGAATTCCCTTTAACATCGATATGTGACAGAAGTAAAACGCTGTTTTATTTGTTGAGTAGAAGATGGTTTCGTTTACTCACCAAAATATATGTTTGAGGTAACAACGTGAACTATGGCAATGACATCTAATTGTTTGCAGTAGGCTGAACATTCCCACACAACCGTTATGAGGGGATCAATAACAAGGAGAATAGAATATTTGTACCTAAGCATGCTCAAAGCGCACAATCACAATCTGACTTATATTATCCCGGATAATCCCACCTGCCTGTGAAGCGCTAGGTTATAGTCACATGACTTATCCCACCGGGTACCCATTTTCTGCTGGGTGAACAGAGGCAATTTTGCACAAACTCAATTGCCTAATGTGAGACCACATATATCACATGTGCGTAGTTGTGGGGCAGTCCTAGAAACTCTCAGGAGTCAAGCTGCCAAACACGGTCACCCATCCAAGAACTCTCCGCGCTCAACGTTGCTCAACTTCAACTGATTCGTGACCTGAGCTCAATGCACAGGAACACACACCTCCACAATACCCTGCTATCAGACTAAGTTAACACAACGTTGCTGGGACGTCGTGAGTGAGTTTAGATAAACGTCGCTTTAAACAGTATTGCTGTAGCATCACGGCATTGGTTAAATGTGAGACGAAAGCCTGGAGTGATTCATCTCGCAGACTTTCGTGAAACCCACGAGCATGGTGCAGAGAAACCAAGAATCCGGGATTCGATCCTTTTCGCTCTTTTGAACCTCGTTAGGTCATTCGTGCCCAGAATAACATTATATGGTTGCAACAACGGTGTTACCCAAGTTATTTCTGTTTTTTAACAGTGAAATACATATTTGATTATCTGACTCATTTCTATTCATCTCACGGTATTGAAATATGAAATCCTCTTCACAAGATCAGTCCTCGCGGGCGGCGGACCTGAAATATATTCAGAAGGTCAGCAACAAATATATAAATATAAATACATGCATGACAGTGTGAGTCGGAGTAGGGTGTATTACAACCGTATCCCCAGCTTCCTTAGGCTGACTTACTTACTGAGTTTGGTTTTACGCCGCTTTTAGCAATATTCCAGCAACATCACGGCGGGGGACACCAGAAATGGGCTTCACACATTGTACCCATGTGGCGATTTGAACCCGGGTCTTCGGCGTGACGAGCCAACGCTTTAATCACTAGGCTACCCCACCGCCCCAGCTTCCTTAGGATTAAACTTACACTGAACGTTAGTGTCTTCAAGGATTGCATTCACTTACACGTGTACAATGTGTCGTTCGTACGCTCATGAAATTCTAGTTTGTGTTCATGTGACTGACCTCTCGTCGAGTAAAAAATCCGATGTCATGTGATCTTCATATCAACAATTAAAATAAGACATCAACAAATTATCCAAATTATTTCATGTTCAGCAGTTCGATGTCCATTAAGCCTGGAGATATTTAAAAATGAAAAAGCATTTCCAATATCCAAATATATATAGTGACTGACAGATTGCGCAACTCCAAAAGTCTCGTATAGACAGCCTATGCAGCAACTACTGTGATCAAATCTCGTATATACAGCTTTCGCTGCATTTGCTGTGGTCAAGTATCGTATATACAGTTTTTTGCAGAATCTGCTTTGATCAATTCTTGAATAGACATCTTATGCAGCATCTGCTGCGATCAAGACTCTTATAGACAGCTTATGCAGCATCTGCTTTGATCAAGTCTCGTATAGACAGCTTTAAAACATATAAAGAACAGCCCAAGCATTCGACTCACTCACTCACCTGTTAACACCATGATATAGACCGGAAGTCCATCCATGGTGTGCTCCGTCCCTCCGCAGCCCCTACACGTGTACACCGGAACTACTTTCAGGACGTATCTCCGGTTCGGCTGCAAGTCCACCCTGCCGATACTGTTGAAGACGAAGTCGTCGATTGGCAGGTTTGTGTACTTGACGACTTTAGAGCAGGCATTGGCCCTGACTTCTATGTTGTACACACACACCGTGGAAGCGGGGATGTTGGATGGGGGGTCCCACAAGTCGAAACACCTCATGGGTTTTTGTACCTGGTTCGAATCCACATACGCCATGCGACTTTTGGGCTCTACACAAGCCTCGTCTGCAAGAGTGTTAAAAGTGAACCTAATTAAATGTTCACATTCCGAGTAATTTACGAATGAATATATCAAATAGAAAATGTCGGGTAGGTTGGTTGGTTGGTTTGTTGTTTAATGCCGCAATAAGCAATATCCCAGCTGTATGGTGGCGGTCTGTAAATAATCGAGTCTTGACCAGACAAGTCATGCAATGATCAGCATCATGAGCATCGATCTACGCAACTAAGATACGATGACATGTGTCAACCAAGTCAGCGAACCTGACCACCTGATCCCGTTAGTCGCCGCTTACGACAAGAATGGGTTACTGAGAACCAATTCTAACCCAGATCTTCACGGGTAAAGTCGGGTAGGTACTTTACGAAAAGTACAACGTTGAAGTACAGTTTGGAAAAGATGAAGATTCTTGTTTCGTCATTCTGCAAGACTCGCACAATACAATGTTTATTTAGAATAAAGGATATTTGAAGTCTCAAAACAAACTCGCGTGATATGAACTTCCCTTTGCTTGCTCCCAAAATGCCAACGCGAAAATAACAACATGTAATATCAAGTGCAGACACTTACGTCTCAAATACAATTATACACTTTGGTATTCTAAAAATCATAATATTTTTTCAGTTTAATGAAACTAAACTTTTATCTTCATCTGTGTGCCAGGATTCAATCTCAACTGCAACACCGTGTTTACAAAATACCCTCCGTCTTTTGGTTTAGAAGAATTATAAGGATATAAGATCTCCGATTCGTGGGCGGTATTGAGGAGCAATGGACATGAAGCAAACTAGGTACTGGATGTATGTTGGGTATTACGCCATTGAGAAAACAATAAAAACCGGAATTGTGAATACCGTAAGCCTGAAACTGGAGAGCGTTGTCCAAGTGAAGCTTCTCCTCCAGGAGGCTGAAGGGCATCTTGAGGAAGGATGGAGTGAAGTCATCCACAGTGGGTATCAGTAGGGCGTTGTCATACAGTTCCTCGCACCTACATAAAAACACATGTGCAAGTGTGGAGTATCATGATTGTCATAGCTTCCATTAAGCCCTGTTCCCAACTGCCCTTAGCTTGTGTCCTGGCCGTGAGCATTACTGTCATCGGTTTGACTCTGGCCATCTGCAAAACTACCTTGGTTTAACTACCTGTCATGTGCCACGACTCCCTAGGTTTGACAACTGGCAAGGTGCCACTGTGCCCTAGGTTTGTCTACCAATCTTGTGCCACTGTGCCCCATGTTTGTCTACCAGTCATATGCCACTGTGCCCCATGTTTGTCTACATGCCATGTGATACTGTGCCCCATGTTTGTCTACCGGCCACGTGATACTGTGCCCTATGTTTGTCTACCGGTCATGTGCTACTGTGTCCTATGTTTGTCAACCGGCCACGTGATACTGTGCCCTATGTTTGTCTACCGGTCATATGCTACTGTGCCCTATGTTTGTCTACCGGTCATATGCTACTGTGCCCTATGTTTGTCTACCGGTCATGTGATACTGTGCCCTATGTTTGTCTACCGGTCATATGATACTGTGCCCCATGTTTGTCTACCTGCCGCGTGATACTGTGCCCTATGTTTGTCTACCGGTCATGGGATACTGTGCCCTATGTTTGTCTACCGGTCATATGATACTGTGCCCCATGTTTGTCTACCGGCCACGTGAAACTGTGCCCTATGTTTGTCTACCGGCCACGTGATACTGTGCCCTATGTTTGTCTACCGGCCACATGATACTGTGCCCTATGTTTGTCTACCGGTCATATGCTACTGTGCCCCATGTTTGTCTACCGGCCACGTGATACTGTGCCCTATGTTTGTCTACCGGTCATATGATACTGTGCCCCATGTTTGTCTACCGGTCATGTGATACTGTGACCTAGGTTTGTCTACCGGTCATGTGATACTGTGGCCTATGTTTGTCTACCGGTCATATGCTACTGTGCCCTATGTTTGTCTACCGGCCACGTGATACTGTGCCCTATGTTTGTCTACCGGTCATATGCTACTGTGCCCTATGTTTGTCTACCGGTCATATGCTACTGTGCCCTATGTTTGTCTACCGGTCATGTGATACTGTGCCTTATGTTTGTCTACCGGTCATATGATACTGTGCCCCATGTTTGTCTACCTGCAGCGTGATACTGTGCCCTATGTTTGTCTACCGGTCATGTGATACTGTGCCCTATGTTTGTCTACCGGTCATATAATACTGTGCCCTATGTTTGTCTACCGGTCATATGCTACTGTGCCCTATGTTTGTCTACCGGTCATGTGATACTGTGCCCTATGTTTGTCTACCGGTCATGTGATACTGTGCCCTATGTTTGTCTACCGGTCATATGATACTGTGCCCCATGTTTGTCTACCGGCCACGTGATACTGTGCCCTATGTTTGTCTACCGGCCACGTGATACTGTGCCCTATGTTTGTCTACCGGTCATATGATACTGTGCCCAATGTTTGTCTACCAGCCGCGTGATACTGTGCCCTATGTTTGTCTACCGGCCACGTGATACTGTTCCCTATGTTTGTCTACCGGTCGTGCTACCGGTCATGTGATACTGTGACCTAGGTTTCACTGGTCATCTGCAAAACTGTCCTTGGTTTGACTACCGGTCATGTGCCACGATGCCCTAGGGTTGACTACCGGCCATGTGCCACGATGCCCTAGGGTTGACTACCGGCCATGTGCCACTGTGGTAAGGTGCCACTGTGCTCTATGTTAGGTCATGTGTTACTCTCCCTGCCCTTGAAATCTTTACATAAGACCTGTATCTTAACTCTGAGATGAATCTGATATTCTGTGCAATGACTGAAATACTATACTAATAAGCGGCCTAAAGGAAACTCACCCAATCAGCCAAATATGACAATCACCATATATGTCTTTTGAAAAACGTACCAATTTCTGCAGTTACTACAGTTACAAATGTAAGGATGTGTATTTTCTTAAACCACAAAGAACAAGGTGTAAAGTACGTACCGCTGAACAATGTTCTTGTAGCCCTGAAAACATAAACCACATCATAACGAGGATATCTAAAAAAATCATCATAAAAGCGTTCTACGTTATATATTTGATAGTTTAAATTTTTGTATAGGCTTCTGGGGTAGAATTATAAAAATATGGGTTAAAGCGTCAGCTGTACATTCCGTAGACCGGGTTCAACATCCCTCCATGGATACTTGTATGAAGCGCAACCTTGTCCTAATACGGTGGGAAAGTGCTACACTTGTCATAAAACCAACTCCCTCGCGATTTGCAACAGTCCGGCTCATCAAAGCCATGGTTCAAGGCACCTCAAGGCGTTCTGGTGGGCACCAAGGTCCATAGAACGTTACAAGTCGAGAAGTTATTTCCAACACACCTTGAAGATCATGCCTATACCAGCACACGAGAAGACGAAACTGCTGAGCAGATAAATAACTGATTAAGCGAGGAAACATCGCCTAGTTAGGATGCTGAAGACAGATATTGATTTTCTTGTCAGTTCTTGAAGTATAGATGTATATACACATTTAGGAAGGATGCTGTGATATAGTCCTGCATAGTGCTCAACACACAGAGTCCGGAGCTTAATACGTGCAGTGGATAAGAACACCGGCGGTTGGAGATTTCGAGGCGATATGTGTGGAGTCGACGTGGCGCACTGACGAATACACGTACATGGACGTGCACTGCCTACGTCATTATCGTATTTCCCTGTTCAGTGTAATAATAATATTTTGTTTACGAAACGCCTTGTTAAGGTCGACGTTTTAAGTTTTGAAATACATCGTACTTAGTTTACTAGCCAGCCTGTCTGGATCAAATTCAAGAGTCGTTTTTCACGTTGAACAGAAGACTATTTCTCAAAGACTGAATGTGTGTAAATGATAATTACCTAGTGACCATCCTGAATGTTTTTTATGAAATAATGTTTGAATGAAAAAATGTAGAGTGTGTGAGTTGAACATTTCTATTGTTCAAGGCTTGTGAGTTTAAAAGTTTAAAAGCACCACATGACACCAAATTTCTCTAAAACTAAATAATGCATTTGTCTCAATGACCCTGACTATCAGCTCTCAGTACTCCGCCCCCAGTCTAACTGTAGATAAGATACCTCATTTTAGTTTGAAGCCGATCTGCCAGTAAGCTAAGTAACAACAGTTTTTAAATTCTACCGTCAAATATAAACAATTCAGATGTCATAAGCGTCGATATTTAGGATATAGATAGATATAATGTATTCACAGACAAATTTGTGTACATTAATCACAGGGTATCTAATTAAGTAGATCCCTCACATTAATGTTATGTGGACCAGTCCGAATCCAGAATTCTTCGTTGTTATGGTAAAACACTCACTAACACCAGCTAAGATTTAAAACGCACATATTTTCATTTCCTGATTTACTCTCTCTAAAAGAGATATACCCCAAACTGAAAAAAAAGGAATGCGCGTGCCAGTGATGAATGACGTGAAACTAAAGAAGTGGTCTAAGGGAGATAACTCATATAGTGCATGTAAAGACATTATGATAGCGCTGCTTTATTCTAAAATGCGCCGTACATCTCCTGCAGGAAAGTCACAGCTGACAAAAAAAACACAGAGAGACAACAATTAGTGTCCGTGTTATAACGAGGAACACCTGCGTCACCGCGGGTCGATAATATCTGGACATGGCTCAGGCCACGCCATGTCTGACGTGCTGGAATGTAGCAATGTTTCAAAGTTGAGAGACGAACAATTCCTTTTAACGTTGTGTGGAGAATTCAAGGTGTTTGTATTAATGAAATCATAAATGGGTGAAAATAAGATAATTAATCGATAATCTTGTAATATAAAAAACAATATTTCTGACACTGACTGACTGACTGAGTTTTGGTTTTAAGCCGCTTTTAGCAATATTCCAGCAATATCACGGCGGGGGACACCAGAAATGGGCTTAACACATTGTGCCCATGTGGGGAATCGAACCCGGGTCTTCGGCGTGACGAGCCAACGCTTTAACCACTAGGCTACCCCACCGCCCCTTCTGACACTGATACAATCAGAAGAACAAAAACATTCAGGCAACATTTGGTAATCCTTGGTGGTAGAGGGATATTGACACACGAATTCTTTACTGTATGTCCTAATATTTTGACGTCCGGGGCGATGCTCATGCCATTAACCACTGGTTCAATATATGCCAGCCGAAGATCAGTAGCTGAGATAACGCTGACAGCTGCGTTAAGAAATAACTCATAAACGAAGGGTTGTATCAAGTCATTTCTGAATTAGCACGTTTGTTGACAAACAAGTTGGGTCACGTGATATTTAAATTGCACGTGACTATCGCATGAAACACAAACTGGCCATTAGTCATGAGTGCATTATAAGGGTCGATTTTTAGTTAAAGTGTATATGTTGGCCTACCTAATGTCCGTTAAGCACAAGATATCTTGGCTGCTAAGTTAATGGAACTACATACCGCGGGATCTGGCGTTATGCGGTTACTGATATACGGTGGTGTATTCCTACTCCACTGGATCGCAGTTTACGATATATCTTGCGGAAAAAGCCGAGAACGCTCGAGTCGGTAGTGGTAGTTTCATGAGTGAGTACGTGAATTCACATTTATCGTCACATCGGTAATATTTCAGCCATATTGTGACGAGAACCAATTTATCATTGATAAGGAATAAATGCATATTATAAAACCTGTCGTCAAGGGACAGTAAAACAACTAGAGCATCACAGTTGCCACGTTTCAAGTGATTGGCGACTGGTAGTGTTTCACTCCATATTTGGGGGCGGTGGGGTAGCCAAGTGGTTAAAGCATTTGCTAATCAAGCCAAAGACCCAGGTTCGATTCACAATGTACAATTGGTACAATGTGTGAAGTCCATATCTGGTGTCCCCCGCCATGAAATTACTGGAATACTGCTAAAAGCGGCGTAAAACCATACTCACTCACTCACTCCCATCCTTGAACCCAGCCTTGACACAGCCTCAAGTTCAAGGTTAAATGGAAGATTAACTCACGTACATTCAGAAACCTGACTCTGGACCTGTCTTGAACCAGTTTGATATTTTCTTCTGTTAAGATGGCCTCCTGTGCTGTGAATGTCTTTTGCAGATCTTCAAGTGACGTCATCGACTCCAAGGACTCTTCTACGCACTGACACATACCAGAATTACACATATAAATAAACATGTCGGTGTACATTACAAATGGTAATCAAATATCCTGAATGAAACCATGTTTCGCCATATTCTGAACATTGGGGCCTAGGAATACTATCTGCAGTTTTGTTGAGGAATTCTTTATGCAACTTTCTATTTGAACCTTGTTAAGCTATCTTTGATGTACTTCAAAAGGACTACAAACATAACAAATATAGAAACTAGTACATGTCGACCGAACATTTAAATGAATACTTCAAATTTACTGAACAATATTTTCTATCATACATAAAATTAAATTGATAAAAATCAAAGTACAATATCCGAATATTGCCATCTGTCTTTGGCTTTAATGGGTATAATAAAGTCTAATGACGTCATTCGTTTATCAGTCGGGCACCAATGGCGTCATTTCCAAGGGACATAAGCCATAGTGTGTTAATTGTAGACATCGAACTCTCGGTTAATGTGGAAAATATAAATTGATATAACGCAAAAAATAAATTGGTTACTTCTGATATATTTACGACTTTGGCTATAAAACTACTTGGCAAAAACATTTTATGCTGAAAAAGTGCAAGACAAAAAGGTTAATGTTCGTGTTAACTTACCCTTTAACGTTGAAGTGTGTTGTGTCTGTATTAACATATATTCTAAGATGGTTCGCAAAAGGAGCCTAAAGTACTTTATCATCCGATAAAATACACTTCCTGCATTACATCACACAGAATTGACAATTGACAAGCGTCCTCCTGCTTGCACTACATACTTACAACAGTTCCGGGCAAAACTGTACTTTGTTACACTATACATGGGAGTAGACCTGACTGTATTTCTTAAAGACGAGACAGACACAGTGGTGGTTCTTTAGTGCGGTGTAAAACTTCTTTAGATAGATAACACCGGGTTGCAGTCCTATAACGCCCCTTGCTGTATTATCAATTTCCTCTCTGGGAGCGTTGTGTAAACCATGCCGCTGTTTCCAGACAAACTGTTTGAAAATGTTTCTTTGTTATGTGTTCAGGGTTATCTCCCTTAGCAAAAAGGTGTTTGTTTAATGTGTTAGGTGCATTCTATATGTTTTTGACTTGTTGCGATGTCTGTATCAGACACCAATTTCTTGTCCTAGTTGATAGTTTCCCTTTGGCTAGATGTGAGATATTGCATGGTGACGAGATAGCTTATGTTTTGCATATAGGCATGAAACAAATCAAACATACAGTACGGGGCGGTGGGGTAGCCTAGTGGTTAAAGCGTACGCTCGTCACACTGAAGACCAGGGTTCGATTCCCCAAATGGGGAATAATAACAATAATAATAATAATAACACTTTATTGCCTTTTCAGGAATTTGTGTTACATTGTGGTACAATGTGTGAAGCCCATTTCTGGTGTCCCCCCGCCGTGATATTGCTGGAATATTGCTAAAACGGCGTAAAACTAAACTCACTCACATACAGGACATTTACAAAGCTGTAAACTTCAAGGATGAAATATTCATAAGTAATTTTCAACTTGCGAGCTTTGTCCCAGATTTGAGCCAGATTTGCGTTTGAATTAATCTCTCCTACCTTCTGCATCTTGTCCAGGAGATCCTTTTCTCTTTCAAGGAGGAGATCATGAAGAGACACGAACTCTTGGCGCACTTGCTGCTTGTATGACAGCCATGACAGCTGAAGAAGAACACACACATGTGAGCTCACACACATTGATACGTGTGTCTGAACCCATTTGTCGTGAAGAATCATAATGCATTAGGCTCTGTCCGAGCGATGTTGTGTTTTGCTCAGGAATACTGTTGTAAGCTTATATAAACGTGACACTCTTCGGTCAAATCAAATCAGAGGTCAGACGAAACGGTAAATGTCTGTTCATTGGACCACTTATACCCAAAGAGTTGTTTAGTGATCGTATGTGGTTTAACTTGGCTTTGAACATTATCCAAGTGACACCAAGGCGTGTCAGATTAAGGTAGAATGAGTGAATGAGTTTAGTTTTACGCCGCACTCCGCAATATCCCAGCTATATGGCGGCGGTCTGTAAATAATCGAGTCTGGACCAGACAATCCAGGGATCAACAGCATGAGCATCGATCTGCGCAATTGGGAACCGATGACATGTGTCAACCAAGTCAGCGAGCCTGACCACCCGATCCAGTTAGTCGCCTCTTACAACAACTCGCCTTGGCACATGGGTTGCTGAAGACCTATTCTACCCCGGATCTTCACGGGTCGATTAAGGTAGAAGGAAAGCCCACAGTGATGTTAACACTTTCCTGTAACCCAAGATCCCGTTATGGTACTGACAAACCTAGAAACAAACCGGGACTAGAACACACGATCACAAGTTCCTAGCGAGCCGAGGGGAAACAACTCTGGGCCCCGTTTCACAAAGTTATCGTAGCGCTACGACTTTCGTACCTCTCATACTGGGCCTAGATTTTCGAAGGTCTCTTAGCGCTAAGATAGTCGTAAGTTAATGGTAATGTAACATAGACTTACGATTGTCGTAGCGCTACGATAGCTTTGTGAAACGGGACCCTGCACGTAGCCTGCAAAATACCGACCCAATAGGAGAAACATATTATAAATACCTAAATATGTTGTTAAAAATCAACAAGTCATGGATCGATGTTACTGATGCAGATGCGTCATCGTGACTGACATGAATGATACAACCATTTACCAAAGGAGCGTATTTTGAACAGCCCCGTTATATATTGCTCTGTCATATTTGATCTTATCGCGAAGGGGCGATGTGGGCATCCTCGTGGTTAAAGCGTTCGCTCGTCACGCCAAAGACCCGGGTTCGATTCCCAACATGGGTGCAGTGTGTGAAGCCTATTTCTGGTGTCCCCCGCCGTGATATTGCTGGAATATTGCTAAATGCGGCATAAAACAAAACTCAATCACTCACTCACTCTTATTGCGAAGTATCTTATTTGCCACCATTTGGAATTTGTAACCTATGGTAAACTATAGAGTTACGACATGTCGCAACGTTACGAACGCGTTGTGGATCGGGACTCATGCCATCCATCTTAAAGGCCCATTCTAGCACGACATTGTGTGATACTCGATTCTGATTGGCTGAGAGCTCATCAAAACCGTACTTAAATGACAGTTTAAAGGACCGCTAATTAAAGTGACCGATTCACCGCGTATGAATATACAACGAACTTGTTGACCCTATTGTTTGTAAACAAACATGTCGGACATCGGCAATTTCTATCTCGGCAGCATATTTGGTGTTTTTGAAGTAAAAAGCGAAAGGTTTGAAGAAGAATTTCTTGACCCTAATCCCAGTGAAGAAACTACGAAGCTGGAAAATCCGTCAGCAGCGCAAAAGCGGCAGTATATTCAAAGCGGGTCCAGATCTACGTGTGTTGACGTCGACAAATCCCTTGCGAAAATAGCGGATGGTCTCGGTATACTGCAATTTGATGGATGCAATCGGAGCCACCCCTACCTACCTCTAGCTGAATCTTTCTGTCCTCGATCGTGTCCTCGTCAATTTGCGCCGCTGCAATCGCATGACTGACCTTCTCAATCTGCTCCAGGAGGTTTTTCTGAAACACAGCCAGAATAGCATCCTGCGTCAACATCTGATTCTGTCCGCTGAACCAGTCCTCAATAACGGAACACATCAGGAATAATTTCCGTTCATAATCCTCCAGGTCAAGGACAGAGGAAGGCATGCTAATTTATATGCGCGTGGAGTCTTTTCAGGAAAAACGAAAGCCTCTTCGGGTATTGAAGTGAATGATTCGAATCAAATGACGTCACGCAAGAGAGCGAAAAAAGACGTCATCAAAAGATGACGTCATTCAACTATTTTTCCGTGGTATGAAATAGGAATTGGCGAACATATGTGTGTCTCTCGCGCATAAAGTGCCAATCATTAAGTAAATTTCATGGCAGTATGTCAAGACTTTGCGTCCCAATAGGTATTATTGCTGTCACTCATTCTGCGGATCACCACGCCTAATCCTCCTCCCAACATAAGAAAGATGCCTCCAGTTTGCACAAACGTGTAGAATGAATTCGGGGAACAGACTTTACGTTCACCGTAACAAATTCTTCACAAGAATTTTAAGGTCCTATATTTAACGTATTATCAAATCTTACGGTACAGTATATTAGACAATTTCATTAAGTTTCACTTTTCCTGTAAGGAACCATGCAATTTATTCTTCTTGGACCTGCAAACGTTAAATTTTGAAAGTCAAGTTAAAAGCTTTTAGCAATATTTGAATGTGTCGGAAGGTGAGGTGAGGTGAAATTGGGTTTAACGTCGTGCTTGAGAATATTTCGCTCATATGACGACGTGCATGCGTTTGTATGTGTAAGTGCGGCTGCTTGTACTAGCCCAGACTTAAGCTGGTTTTATAGTGCTAGCCCACTGAGATACCATGCCGCAGTGAAGCATGAATACCCCACTCAGACACATTATACTGACTCCAGGCCGACCAGTCCTTGTTGTACCCATTAATGCCGAGCGCCAGGCAGGGACCAACAAGTACCATATTTTAACGTCTTTTGGTATGACGCGGTCGGGGATCGAACCCGCCGACCTTCCGCTCTCCGGGCGGACGCTCTAACCACTACACCACGGAGGCGGTTCGAATGTGTCAGAAGACAATCAAAGCTAGATGATATATCAACAAGAGGAACCACGCACGCTGTGATCTCAAGCCAACACACGCACGTAGGTTTTAGGATTCCGGGTCCCGATCAACAAAACATTCGTAACGTTGCGACCCATCGTAACTCTAAAGTTTACTACAGGATTACAAATCTCGTAGCGCTACGAACACCTTGTGGATCGGTACCCTGTATTGCTGAAATTATATATTTCTCATGAGACCACAACCATCTTTAAATACACAATGTCACACATTTTCGACAATATTTTGGTCCATATTATATATATTGGGGCATATGCACTCACTTTAGCTTCCTATTGATGCAATAAAAAACTTATTATCCCTACGACTTGCCTGAAATTGGTAATTGAAACTTCGAGGCGAACAGCTTTCAAACAGAGAACACTTGCCATATATGGAATGTAAACAATTGCTCCGTACATCGAAAATTGTCCCAAGCGGTGTTGCCCGGCGGTGTTTGCCGAACTGGTTTCAATCACAAGTTGTGTAATAGGATATTCGTAAAGAGCGCTCCAAGGGACATTACTCTATGGGGTTCGCTTAAAATAAAGTTCGGCCGGTAGGGGGCACGAGAGTCGATTTAATGCAACGTTGCATTAATTCATTCGAACTTTTCAATTTAATATTGCAATCTAAATACGTAAATAAGTTTTTTTAATTTATATGGTAGCTTCCCTGAGGGCCAATAGTTAGTATTATTGAGAGAAATGCATTATCTATCTTTAGAGAAGTGAGGTGTGAAATAGTGTCCAAGTCCCCGAATCATACAATGCACCCAGCCCATTCCCATTCTCTCATGACCCGTTTCATATGGTGTATACTGCAGATACAAGTGCCACGTGACTTGTGTATACAAGGGATCGATATCAGCTGCTATTCGATAACAGATCATCAATACATGTGTGCACAGCATTCTAATTCAACTTAGTATGTAACACGAGTTCTGATTGGTCAATGCTATAAATTTCCGACCGTATAATCAGCATATACGGTCGCAATTTAAAAACCGATTCACCAAAACCTTTGAATGTATCCCTACACTATTGGGGTAACGCTGTTTCGCAGGACATTGTCATTTGCAGAAGCCATTGGTCAATTAACTCCCCTATCCAGCTAAAATGGGTGGAATTTGTGTTAAAAAAGACAAAACAGTATCATAAATTTAATTTTAAGTTCAAACAACTTACTCGCAACGGACTGTTGACCCAACACTGTTAGATCATGAAACAAGGTTTATGACGTCATTATGGAGCGTGACGTCACCTGCTATGACGTCATTTGACAACAGAACTGGTAATGGCCCGTAGTTAAGGAATCAGCAGGCCGCTCATTTCTGTAACTAGAGGGTGGTTTCATCATAATACCGTCCATTTTATCTAAAATACTATGATCTATTCATCATTGTCAAACTTAGTATGTGTGCACATAATAAACGTGTGTAGTTTGAAAAGGGAACTACTTTCTCTGGCGATGGTGTAAGTTGAAGGAGTGATATGATTAACCTTTGACCTAGAGGAACTTTGACCTGGTTTAAATAATGAATTTCTTTAACGAAAAAACAGCGTAAAACGAGTTGAATTAGAATGGGGATAACTGTACTGTGTTTGACGAATTGGGGAAGCAAATTTAACGCTATATCGGCTCCGCTTACGCGTCGCCGATATAACTAAATTTGCAGCTATATAACCACCAGTATATGTCCCCAATTCGTCAAACACAGTACAGTTATCCCCTAAATAGCTATTTGTGACGAACGTACATACATATGTTGGTCATTGATTAAAAAGTCTGGTTAAAAATATATAATTATGTAACTATACAACAACTATACTAATATCCTATCTAAGATGACCCGAGTCCCGATCCACAAAATATTAGCGCTACGACATTCGTAAGCTAATGATAAACTATAGTGTTACGACAGGTCGTAACGTTAAGAATGATTTGCGGATCGGGACCCAGGCCACCCATCCTAATTAAGATATGACTACAGATTGTAGGAGGCAAACATGTCGGGGTTGATATTTTTCAAACATATCACTATCGCTCGGGAAATACTAACATTTCGGAACTCGTGTAGTAAACATAGTATGACATGGACACTTGTATAATATCCTCTATTTGTATATGAAAACTTCAAAGTGAATTGAACACATTTGGAACTAGAAACGGTAACAGTTTTTGTTGGTTTCATTATGATTAATTTGTGTGCATTAAAACATGGAGGAACGATTATATGCCATGTGCATCATGTTAAATTTTATTGATTTTAAAAAATAAATAAGTAAATACTTTACAAAAGAAACGAAAGTAGAAGATGTTAAATATGCCACGTCCACCTACTTTCTGTTTCGCAACGTGTTGCTCGGTCGTCTGGATGTCATGAAACTTGTGTGGCTGCCTCAGTAAAGTATGTTTGTTTCTGTCCGGCATCACCAAACAATGAGGGCACAGTCGTTTCGAGCAGGTGACACAGTAATGTAAATATCTTTCGTTGTGCAGGGGACATTTTTCCTGATCGATGTCTGTGCATGTCCGAGTGACTTGGTGATCGGACAGGGGGCCCTTCATTGGATGATACGTTTCAAAGCAGCCGTCACAATACTTCAGAAGACATACCTCGCATATAAGTGTCCCAGGACTCGTGTATTCACAGAAATCACACACTGTACGGTTGCGTTGTTGACGAGTTGTCATAGCTTCCGCATTGTAAGTCCTGTATAGTTGGGAGTTCAGAAATTAGAGTGACCTCCCTTGCACCGCATTTCGCTTGAAAAGATATTTTATAACCGCTTCCAACACTAACGCTGGCTCCAATGCCTTTGTACCGAATGGGACATGGAAAAAGGAAAGAGGTGTCTGGATAAGAAGCTCGATAATCGGAAATATCTTAGAGTTAAAAATCATTAATGATTATCGATATGAAAATTGTTTCATCGATGATATTCGCACATTAATTTACATTAATGTACTCGCACAAAACCAGTGTATGAAATAAGGGCTATTAAGGCCCTTTCGACCGCCCGAGACGGGCTAGATTTCGTGCGGACGGTCTAAATTTACAGCTAGCCAGCCCGATGGTCTAGCAAACTTTTAGATAACATTTTCCATGCATCTGAGAAAAAAAGTGAATTATTTTCTTTGGATTGTCTGGTCTGATTAAATCCATTTTGGCTGGTAACATTTTGAAGTTACCAGCCCTGATGACTGGCTGGGTTTTTTGCGTATTTCATACAGAAAGGTACGACTTTATTGTTTATAAATCAGGACGCTGTTTTGTTAGTAATCCATGCATAAATATGTCACCACTCACCAGTTAGGAATTTTTACTTAAAGTTACCTCTCCGATATCTATCGATAATCGATCGATATTTAGTTATCGATCTCTATTGTCTATTTCGATAGCCAGCTATGTGAGTAAGGGACCGTTCATTATTTATGTCTAGGGGGGTGATGATGATTTTAAGGGGGGTTCCCCATTTTGTTCTGGGGAGGTGGGGGGTCATCAATTTTGTACACATGTACAAGGGGGGGTCAGCAATTTTGTTCATAAAAATATTTTAAAATTATGCTTAAAACTTATTGGAAGGGGGAGGGGGGTCATTGATCTTGTACATGATATGCAAAGGGTGGTCACTTTGTGCGTAAGTTTTAGGGGGTGTCATTCACATTGTACATGCTTCTGCATAAAAATCATTATCACCCCCCTGCAATAAATTATGACTGACTGACAGACTGAGTTTGGTTTACGCCGCTTTTAGCAATATTTCAGCAATATCACGGCGGGGGACACAAGAAATGGGCTTCACTCATTGTACCCATGTGGGGATTCGAACCCGGGTCTTCGGCATGACGAGCCGACGCTTTAACCACTAGGCTACCCCACCGCCACCATAAATTATGAACAGTCCCTAAGTACAGTGTTTCACTACGTTTAGCACTGTGGCAAAATGTAGTAATATGAAGTATATGGCATTATACCTGCTGTAAGTAAGTAAGTAAGCCGACCAACAACTACGTCATGAAACTGAAACAAGGGTAAACAGTGTACAATGCCCATACATGTAGGAAAAGCATAATCACAGCCTTCTTGTTTTCAAGGATCCCAGTAACTCGGGATGTTACTGATGTTACCAGGAAGAAATATATACTGACATGACATTTGCTCATTGTGCGTCAGAGGAATACTTTAAGCGGTGACTTGTGTACCGTGCCTGCAGATGGTGGGACTGATTCAATGGGGCGTGTGTCTCATTTGCACTCATGAACCCTAGGCAAACGTTTCACGTTGTGCATTGTTTTAGGTGGTATGTTTTGGTTCTCATTGACATGAGTGATTTAGAAATATATACGAATGATCACATAGAAGCTCAGTAATCTAAATAATCATCATGCGTATCACTGACAAAAGTCACTGTTTGGAATAAGGTGTATCATATGAATTACAGTAAGCACTGTTTTGGATAATGTGTACGATATGAATTGCAGGCAGCACCTAATGTGTACGGCAGCACCTTTTGGGTAATGTGTACGATATGAATTGCAGGCAGCACCTTTTGGGTAATGTGTACGATATGAAGTACACGAAGCACTGATTGTAATAATATGTACCATATGAACGTATATCAAGCACTGTTGCAAAAAAGTCAATGTATATACTTCTACAGGAAGCAGCGTGTAGGGCCAAGTGAACTATTCGCATGAAAACAGGGCATGGCCAGTGTAATGTATAAGTTTTTATACATGCATAGATAGAAGAAACCATGAAACATAAATGCAAGAAAGAACGTGTTTATTAAGAAACAACAAGTAAAATCAACCAATATATTAGAAGCTATTACATGATGGAACGCAAGTATTTATCAACATTGTTTAACTAAACATGATGTATGAAATGTACACATGATCACACATAGCGAGAGTCGATATGGACACGACAACGTATTATACAATTATACAACGCTATACAAGACCTCAAGATAACAAAACAACGTCGCCCTTACATATATCTACGATAGTAATGCAAGTCTTACAACGTCATAGATATTCATTCTGCCATTATTCCTTCATAAGATGACTTATTGTACATCATGATTAAACATTAACACTAATGGTTCTCTCAACTGGTTACCAACTCATGACGGTGGAAACATTAAAACTTATTATAAATGTCTCTGAGAATTCTGTTAACAGGTTTAGCATTATTTGTGAAAGGCGATACGGCAATGTACTGGAATTACATATTTAGTATAATGAACAAACAACAATGCTAAAACTGTAACTTATTCAGTGAGTGCATCTTCCAAACCAGAACTAGTAGTCTGGGTGTACAAATCTAAATAAGGTCATGTTATATTTGAAGTCGTGCTGTTTTGTTCAACCTGAGGTAAGGCCAAACATCTTCTCATCGCCGCCATTTTGTTAAGTCAATTGTTGGAAGGTCGTTGCATGGTACCAAGGGGTTGCTAAAACAAACAGAAATGAATCACTCTAAATTATGTAAAGTTCAAAGTTCATGACATATCGCGTAAATGTATGTCTTTCTAATCAATGCATGAAATAAGGAAATTATATACTGATACTATAATGTATTCTGACTGAGGTGATTAATTAATTAAAAGGAAAAATGGATATCTTCACTGCCTACCTGTCTTCTGTGTCAACTTTAAAAGGATCTCTTTGCATGGACTTCAGACCCGAATTCCGACAAATAATTTTGGCAAAGCTCATTCGTCGGATTTCAGACAGTTGACCTGAAATAGCAGATGCAGTTGATAAATTTCTGTACATGTGCAGAGAAACAGATAGTATCACTTTACACACTTTCGTCAGCGAACCATACCTACTGTTTGATGTCTAGATTTACGAAATCACACCAACAAATAAACAGTAATAACAGTATAGTGCATTCATCTTAAATGTATATGAAATATTACAATCTACACATATGTTGACATGCATTATAACAAAACATAAACGCTGAATAAGTGCAAACTCCGACAGGATTGTACCTGGTGTAAAGCCTTTTTTGGATGTGATGTTTCAAACCAGAATGAGTCGCCAAATTTGAGATCATTAAACTGTTGACCAATGAGACAAGCCAGTAGAGGGCCCACTGCCCCGTCAGACACGTGTTCTTCAGCTACTGCACCGGTGAAGACATCGATGTCATCCGGGATCTGAAGCAAGAACAGACTCAAGTTGGTCGAGAAATGACAGGGAATGGTTAGTGTAAATGTATTTCATAGATGTGTTACAATAAGTCAGAAATTCATATCACAGTCAATGGATAAACACATACCTGTATACACTTCTTAAAGCAGCTCCCGCTTTACCAAATACACTGTCTGCAAATGACGTCACTTCCGGTAGCCGACATGCCTTGCGGAAGCTGTTGTATGATGGCAGGCCATGGTCGCGACCTCTCTGAATGTTCAAGGACACGATGTCGAAGCCCTTATTCTCAGACGTCTCAAACAAGTGTTCAGTTAAACCACTGTTGATGAAACGGTTAACCTCTTGACGTCTGTCCTTCAGGAGAGCCTTCAGCACGGTATCCAGATCCCTGATGACCTCAGAAGGTCTGTTGAAAAGTTGTTCTATGGGTACACGTCGATCTCCCAGTGTCAAGAAACGTGGAATTGTGGAGTGGCCGTATCTGAATGCGGCCGAGGCAAAGACGTTGTAGATGGTGGGATTCTGGGTGAAGTTGTACCTGAAGCTGTAGCCAGGGGTCAGTCTGTACTTCCTCATGGCCAAGGGCCCTACAATAATGGGCAGCCACTCGCGGTAGGTGATTTGTTGCATGATGGCTGACACGATCTTTCTGGCCTCTTCAAACAGGACATCATCTGGGGTGGTCGTTGGCATGACATCAGCAAGTTCTTTGACCAGACGATTGTGTTCCCTAACAAACATGGTGTGCAGCACGGACAGACCCGGGAACACGTTCACACGGTCGTCACCTGAAGATAAAATTACAAACAGGTTGTCATGATGTTATGAAACCTATAATCTTCATCATTCAAAAGTAGTTACGGTCATTCACATGCGCAAAATATTATGAACAGACTCTGAGAATGCTACAACGGTTTTGAGTTAATTATTTGTACTCACCCGCTTCAAAACACCATTCGTTGCTATTGCCTGTTTGGCAGTTGCCATGGTTTGATTCTGGCAACAGGTTATCTCCCTTGGTTTTCATGTAGGCTGAAACGTTGAATGACGACATTTATTTGTGTGTACCAATGACTTTCGAGGATCTTCTGTCAAAATTGTTCATTCTACTGCTTGCTTTTCCATCAATGAGTATATGGTTCAGAATACTGTTTGACTTACGTCCGTTCCTTAGATGACTGATCTGATCCTCACTAAGGCCGTACACGTTCGAGGCGTCCACGAACGCCGTCAGTAGGTTCAACTGTTCCCGAGTATCTGGAAGTGTCATGATTTCAAATGAAACATAGGTATTATCATACAGTGCCGCTTTCGGGTTTTTTGTTACTTGACCCTGTGTGTTTGAGAGATTAGTGATGGTAGTACAATCCAATATTAAGCTAAGGTAATATCCACAGCCTAGGTAATATCCACAGCCTAGGTAATAGTCTCTATATACTCACTCGTTCCAGGTGCTGGAGCTGATCTTTTGAACTCCATGCAGTTCTTTTGGAAATGAAGTTCATTGGATGGCATGGTGATTGGGAAACAAGGACCCCTGGAATATGGAAGAGTGAAAGGACTGAAATTTTCTTGTTCAAATCAAACAAATGTTAGGATAAGTCTGAGATGTTATTTTACACATCTTTTTATATAATCAGAATTGTACAGTTCATTATAATTTTAATTTTACTAATGCGACGTTTCCTGTTTGCGGTTTGAGGATCAGTTATTTCTGTTTACCCAAACAGAATCACAAAGAATTGGAAAAAGCTTCCTGTTTCCAGGAACGAGGATGTATTTCTGTTTACATAAAAACCAAGTAAACGTGAATTAAGTATGGAAAATACAGAATGTTAAATGCTTACCCATTGCTTACGTCAGAATGCATCTGACCAGGTGAGTGACCATCGCAGCATTTAGTTTGAACATCACCTTGAAAGAATATATAGATCAGTAAAACAAATGCAAAGATTAAGGTGAGCATCGAAAAATGTGGAAATCTGCGTGTACACAAAATTAAATAGAACAATATTTTGTCTGATTTCAATATCTTAGTTTCCTTCGCGACCTTTCTGGACAAAATGAAGTCTCCAGTTTAATACTATCTTGACTGATCTTTATTAGCAACGAGGATTCTTCGCAATCTATTTTTAGATACTGAACAGTAGACACCTGTCCCCTACCTGCGTGGAGGGGAGTTCCGGTGAGGTCGTGGTCCAGGAACTGCCCCCATTGCATCACCATCACTGTGTTGTCGTCAGAAGGACTGTCAGTACCCGGATGTACGGCCACACTGACAGCACGTGGACTGGGGAGGGGATGACCATCAACGCCCCTCAGTCGAGGAACAAACTTGCCTGCAAAACCACGTGTAGTCAGTTATAATACTAATAACGGAATAACTCACTGTCCAATCATTGCCAGGAACAGTTAATACAACAGAAACCCTCTAGGTTGGATAATGAATTACCTTGGTTATTAGCATGAAATTATCAACATTTAATCATCAACTTTTAATTTCAAGGCTACCGGTACATTACCATCATCATAAGCAGGATCAATAAATCTCCTGAATGGTTGGTTGGTTGATCCCCAGGTTGGCCAGCGAGCATTGTTGCATCTTCCGTCCATTGTCCGGTAGCGGGCTCCTGGTTGGCAGGCGGTGGAGCGCTCTCTGTGAAAGTAGTTGGCATTGTCAAGGCTAATAATAACTGATATCAAATACATTAAACACTCAGCCTTCAAATGAAGTTGTCTGAAGTTGAAATCTTATAGCCGGAAGCAACGTAGCTGACCTGATGATGGGCTTCTCTTGATACTTGGACTTGCTGATGTCTTCCAATGAGATCTGAAACGTCTCGGCGGCGTCAGCCAGTGTACAAACAACATAATTGTTGTCTTCATCATCACCTACATCAAGGTAAAGGCATTAGCTCAGGGTAGGCTGACATGCGACAATGTCAGTGTCCTTTAACTTTATCTAAACTGTTTCCTTTCTTAAATTTCTAATGATGTTTCAAGAGGTGTATCATCGAAATATTAAAATAACAGAATTTGAACATACATCAGTCACCTTTACGTCAACTATGAAAACTCTTTTACTGACAGCTTACACTATGTTTAAAGATATCTAAGGTATTCATAAAATCCGTTTAAAAATTCTGCTTATGCCGTTCCTGACAATAACTACAACATGATCAGATTCGTCAGTTATGAATTATAATTACGGAAACACTGTTGGAAGCCCTCCTTTAAACAATGTGACTCCTTACCATTCAAAATTCTTCGCATGATGTCCATTAGTCTATTTTCTCTGTCTGATGTTTGGCCATTAACGTTTCCTTGCTCGTCACCCGATGTCGATGGTGAAGTTCGTCTCTCTTGTTCAGTGGTCGTTTTGGTGTTATGGTCAATCCCAGCCAGATCTGATTGTACTGCCCTGACTGCAGAGTAGGTAAATAATTCAAGCAGCTGATTGACGAAATATGAAGTCTGTACATGAAAGAACTTTATATTTGGGAAAATTATGGTTGCAAACCATCCATAGTATATCGAAGTTGTCAGTTTGATATTAGGTATAAAATTTGGCATGATATATAAATGAACTATTTACCTTGGAAATCAAAGTACAGGCAACTAAAATAGTTCTATACCATCTTCAATTATTGCTTGCAGTGATTTGATTTATTCTTTTGAACAGTAATACTCACGTTGCTTAATGACGGCTTCTATGTTGTTAACCTGTAAGGAAATAGGTTACATGGGTTAAATAATAAACCTGGGTTTGGACAGGCGTGGTATTTTTAAAGCAACTATGAACATGATACATACTGATTTCTACAGATATTCAATAATCACATCATGATGATGATAACGATGATGAGAAGAAATTAAACATACAACTTTATGGATGACAACTTCTTATTTATTGCATAAAGCGACGTTTCGGTGTAGATTCTTACATCGTTATCAAGCTAAAAGCTAACGATGTAAGAATCTACATCGAAACGTCGCTTTACACAATACATAAGAAGTTGTCATCCATAAAGTTGTATGTTTCATTTCTGAATCACCAACTTCTAGAATGCCCATCAAACAATGATAATGAGAAGAAAAAGAACAAGAACGAGAGGAAGAAGGAGAAGAAGCACGCAATTCAGTTAATTTCTTGAAGTGGCATTTACAAGCGGTATGGTGAAGAGGAGCAATTTTAATTGCAATAGATGCGACGTTGCTCCTCTTCATCATACTGCTTGTAAATGCCACTTAGAGAAATTAACTGAATTATTGCAATAAAGAAGTTGCCTATCCATAAAAACTGTACCTCTTCATCATTCCCAGTGTACACATCCCCTACAGACACAACAGTGGTGAACAAGAGGAAGAAGAAGAAGAAGAACCATTAATCCATAGTAAGCAATGGCACGGTTCATAGGTACAGACTTTCAGACGAATACTGAAGATGATGAGAAGAACCAGCTTACCTCAGTGTCCGCCTCCCAGCAGACACCACCGTCAGGATACACACTAACAACAGCACTTTCATCGTTTCTGCTTCTGTCCAGTATACAGTGGAAATACTGACGCACCAAAGTTTAGACCTTGTATATATACTCATATCCCTGGATTAAGTCGACACAGATTACCGTTTCATCTGCTGACCCCTGGTGGGCTTAATCTGACATATCCACATAGGAGGTGCTAAACATCTTGGATGAGGTCGACGCAAGATGATTATCCCGGAGCAGCGTCATTACCGCCATTATTCTTGGTGTCGTGTTCAAACATCAATAACAAGGCAATCAATGTCAATTCATTATTTACCTTTAGCTGTACAGCAAATCGGCGATGAACATGAAAATTTACATTCTTTGTACAGACAGGGTGGTTGGTTTGGTATAAGCATATGGAGAACTTAGTGCAAACACATTTTACAATAAATTTCGTCTTAACTTTGAAGCCTTGAATGGAAATTTACCCAGATTACCGAGTTGTTTAACATTTTGGTTACTTATGAGCTGCACAAGTTTGAAAACAGATTGATTTTTTCCAATAGCAAGGCAAAATGTATAATTCCCCTAAATGATAAACAGGACATTTTGAAACACAAAACAAAATAAAACAAGATAAAACACAAATAAAGATTTTGATCAGTCGAGGTAATAAATATTATTTACTCAGATTTAATCAGATTTGCATTAGGAGGTGCTTGTGGTGTGCATCCTTTAGAGATATCTCCTAGTATATCACCTAGTATCTCCTAGTGGTTGTAGCTGAATCGAGAGAATGTGTTCCAGCAAATATTTCATTAATTGAATAATTAACATACAAAATGTGTCAAGTACCCTGTAATATGTTTTCAGCTTTTCCACAAAATATATGACATTCAACCATATACATGTAGTTTTAGCCTCATCATCATGCATTATGTTCTCTTCGATATTACTTCCATCTTCTGTGGTCTGGCTACACTATGAGGATAAATTTTCGTTTTCTATAAAGTAATCGTGAAATTATTGATGTGAAATGATGTTTTATTCCCAAATCAGTGACTTTGAAGTCACCATGTGCATTTTCAGTTCGATGTTCCCTTGTTCCCCACATATTTTACCAAGCTTCGTGTAAATTCATATTGTTCCACATTTGTGTTTTATTCATTCATATATGGTACACATTGTCCAGACAGCGTTTAATGAAAATTCATACAGGACGCATTGTACCAAACAGTGTTTCTATGTATTCATACAGTACACACTGTCCAAGCAGTGCTTCCTTTACACTGTCCCAAATAGTGTTTAACGTAAATTCATATTGTACACATTGTACACATTGTCCAGACAGTGTTTCTACTCATTTATACAGTACACATTGTCCAGACAGTGCTTCCTTTACATTGTCCCAAACAGTGTTTTATGTAAATTCATATTGTACACATTGTACACGTTGTACCTCCACAGTGTTTCCATTCATTCATACAGTTCACATTATCCAGACAGCACAGCCCTGTTTGTCTCGATTTACTCCAGCTAATGCTTCCTGAGTATAGTTCCCATTGTCCAGGATATCGCTTCCTATACATGAATACAGGGGCTACAACGAATCCACTCTGATGCCAATATGCTATATAACATGAATACGGTGTAATAAATACAACAGCAAGGCAGCAGTATACATGTCATTCAGTGAAACAATAACACAATACTTATTGGACCTATTTTGACTCTGTTGACAGTGTTGATTTATCACGTCAATGAAATCATTGTTGGCTTTGTTCTGGATGAGACGGGAAATCTGATGAGTGACAGGGCTTTGGTAGGGTGTAATATTTTGAAGGGCCATGGGGCAGGTTTGAGTCCAGGATCGGAGTTCTTGAGGGTCTTGAGGGTGGTTTGGGAGACGAATTGGCCTGGTACTGTTGAGCTAACTGGCAAATGAATCCATGCATTTGGTTCACATTTTCCCAGGAATTGCTTCGTACATAACTACTTGCTAATGGTTCCTATTTTGCAGACCATTGTTTTATGGAAGTGCATATGAGGATGTATGCATTGACACAGCAATGCCTCCTTTACATGCATGTAGTTAACATAACCACATACATTGCTTCCTTTACGTGTATACAAACATACATGTCGAAATAATATTTGCCTTCATGTTTGCGCTCCAAAAAGTTTGTTAACAAATTTCCTATGGATGAAGAAATGCAGTTTTTCCTTACGTTTGTCGTGTTGGAAACTGATGTACAAAGTCAACATGTCACATGATCTGGACGTATGCTCGAACCGACATACATTGATGTATGTAGCTTGTGTTATATAGGTAGTCCGATTTATTGTGGTGACATAGTTACATTTGAATGAAAATAACTTGATATTGATATTACTAATCCACATGGGGCATAACATGATTTAAGTGTTAAGAATCATTTTCCAGTAAATCAGTAAAAAACGATATGCGGCCGTTGTGCATCGGTGCTCGAGTCATGTTTGTTACGGAAACAAAATATCCCGTAATCCTCTGTGACTTAGAATAACCCGTGATAGGTTTACATACTGTTTTGATAACAAACGAGGGACTATATCAGCGAATGCGCTTTTGGCGTGTCGTCATCAATTTTAATCGCTGTAAAGTGTGGTGTGAAACATTAGTAATGAGACAGTTAGTAATCGGCTTCTCATCAAGAGTTCTTGACATGAATTGTAGGCAGGTGTTGGGAGACAAATATATTGAAGTTGTTACCGCGTTTTATGTCTGGATGATATTCCAATCCAAGCGATGAGTGAAGTAATACACATCAAATATGTGTCTATCATAGATGGTAAATGTAAATGTCAATGAAACAGTTTATAGACAATAGCAGCTTACTTTGCATGTAACCAATCCATTTTCCAGTGACTACAATAACAAAAAGCTGCTACCACTACCACTAACACTACCACTAACACTAACACTAGCATCAAAAGAGACCAAAAAATCTCTACTGGAATCCCGCTTGGTAAAAGCGTGGGGAACAAGGGAACTTCATGTCGAACTGAAGATGTACTCACAGAGCACTGACTTCCAAATTTCACATCAGTAATGTCACAGTTACTTTCTAGAGAAAGCCATATATCCTCATAATGTAGCAAAACCACAAAAGTAATATTCGAGTAGACATAGACGAGTCATGTGCAAGCTAAGACGATATGGCAGAACGCTATATTTTGTGTGGAAATGCTCATAACATACTCCAAGTAACGTGGCTCAAAAATGAGTTAATCATTCAAATCCTGAAACATTTGCTAGAACACTTTCACTCGATTCCGTTATAACAGCAAGGAGATATCTCTCAACGATGCATCTCACAAACCCCTCCTGGTGCGAATCAGATTACCAACTGTCTAGCTACTGAAGTCGATTCACGACACCAAGAACAATAGTGGTAATGACGCTACTCCGGGATAATCAGCCTGCGTCGGCATAATCCAAAATGTGTGACTCCTGTGTGCAGATGTCGGATTATGCCCACCAGAGGGTCAGTCGATCATACCGTAATCTGTGTCGACTTAATCCTGGGATATGAGTATATATACAAGGTCTAAACTTTGGTGTATCAGACACTCCCACTGTGTACTGGACAGAAGCAGAAACGATGAAAGTGGTGTTGTTTGTGTGTATCTTGACGGTGGTGTCTGCCGGGGAGGCGGACACGGAGGTAAGCTGGTTCTTCTCTTCTTCTTCATCTTCACTGTTGTGTTTCCTTCTTCTTCTCCTTCTTGATCTTCTGTTCGTTCTTTTTCTCTCATCATCGTTATCATAATCATGATGCGATTCTTGAACGTGTGTAGAAATCCGTATGTATTTATCATGGTATAGATTTGTGGTTCTGAAGTTGCCTTTTCTCGTCACGTTCAACGTTAAAGGTGGATATCTTGCTTTTTTAAAAACACCACTTCTGTTTTATCCAAGGTTAATCGTTAAACATCTGTTATCTGTTTCCTTTTAGGTTAACAACATTGATTCCTTCATTGAGCAGCGTAAGTAAACTTTTATTAACTCTTGAAAGCAACTGTAACATGTTGTTTTAAAACTAGTTTAGCTCCGTACTTAGGTATATCTCAAGCAGCAAGCATTATGTTAAATATTTCATTTATAGATATGTCAACATTTTGCTAAATATCATACTGACTGCTTCGATATACATATGAATATTTTACATTCTGTAATATATTTCTTCCCAAATATAGCATGTATTTATGTACATATGTCATGCCTGTATCAGCTGATTGAGTATATAACTTACCTTCCTTCAGTCAGGGCAGTACAATCAGATCTGGCTGGAATCAACCATAAGACCCACACAACCATGGATCATGAGAGGCGAACTTCGCCATCGACTTCGGGTGACCGACAAAGAAACGTTAATGGCCAATCGTCAGATAGGGAAAATAGACTAATGGACATCATGCGAAGAATTCTGCATGGTAAGAAGATTCGTTGTTCTGCATTAAGACGTTTCAAAACTGTTTCATTATTAACAATCTGACCACTTGGTTAATTGACATATCAAACTGGTCATACTCTACTTATTGTCAGGAACATCTTAAACGTCTCTGCCAATATTAAAGCAGCCCTTACGTGTATGCAATGAATTAAAATGTCCTCTAAAACTCTTTTGAAGCAATATAACATCATATTAATTTCAGACTAGTAATCAGTTCAGTTATGTTAAGACAGCGGGTCGTTAGTTAATGCCTTTATCTTGACGTAGGTGATGATGAAGACAACAATTATGTTGTTTGTACACTGGCTGACGCCGCCGAGACGTCTCAGATCTCCTTGGAAGACATCAGCAAGTCCAAGTATCAAGAGGGACACAACATCAGGTCAGTTACGCATCTCACGGTACGATAGTTGTATTTCAAGACACCTTCTCTTGAAGGTGAGTGTTTAATAGTTGATACCAGTTACTATTAGTTTTGACAATGCCAACTACTTTTATAGACGGCGCTCCACCGACTGCCAACCAGAAGCCCGCTACCGGACAATGGACGGAAGATGCAACAATGCTCGATGGCCAACCTGGGGATCAACCAATCAACCATTCAGGAGATTTATTGATCCTGCTTATGATGATGGTAATGCATCAGTAGTTTTTAATATCATATATTTCAGGTATAAGAACTTAAAGTTGATAATTTCATGCTGATAAGCAAGCTCATTCTTGACTTTGAATGGCATTTAGAAGTGATAAGGGTGAGAGTTTTTGAAGAATGTCCACTTTTTTATTTTGATGAACACAACGTGCATAATGAAGGAAGGAAGGAAAACTCTCTCCCTCAAAGTAATTCATGATCATACCTGACTATTTGACACTGCATACCTGCAGGTTTTCTGTTGTGTTAACTTTTTCTGGCAATGATTGGACTTTTTCATGTGGACATTCAGCCATTCCGTTATTAGTATTATAACTGACTACACGTTTTGCAGGCAAGTTTGTTCCTCGACTGAGGGGCGTTGATGGTCATCCCCTCCCCAGTCCACGTGCTGTCAGTGTGGCCGTACATCCGGGTACTGACCGTCCTTCTGACGACAACACAGTGATGGTGATGCAGTGGGGACAGTTCCTGGACCACGACCTCACCGGAACTCCCCTCCACGCAGGTAGGTGCTGGGTGTCTAATATCCTGTATCCAAATATAGATAGCAAAGAATCTTTGTTGGCAATATAGATCAGTCAAGATAATATTTAATGGAAGGTGGTTTACCATGGCTTGATGTTGTCCAGAAGGAGACCTGAGATGTTGAAATCAGATCTATTTCCTATTGGTAAACCAAATTTCCATCGCGTTCATCATTACGATTTTCACTTTAATCTTTGTATTTGTTTTACTGGTTTATATATTCTTTCAAGGTGATGTTCAAACTAAATGCTGCGATGGTCACTCACCTGGTCAGATGCATTCTGATGTACGAACTGGGTAAGCATTTAACATTCCGTATTTTCAATACTTTATTCATGTTTACTTGCTTTTTATATAAAGAGAAATACCTCGTCGTTAAAGTTGAAATATCCAGGAAACAGGAAACTTTTTTTTCCAATTCTTTATGGTTCTGTTTGGGTAAACAGAAATAAAATTATAATGAACTGTACAATTCTAATTATATAAAAAGGGATCTGAAAATTATCCTAACATTTGTTTGATTGGAACAGGAAAATTTCAGTCCTTCCACTCTTCCATGTTCCAGGGGTCCTTGTTTTCCTATCACCATGCCATCCCAGGAACATCATTTCCAAAAGAACTGCATGGAGTTCAAAAGATCAGCTCCAGCAACCGGAACGAGTGAGTATATATAGACTAGGCTGTGGATATTACCTTAGCTTAATATTGGACGGTACTACCATCTCTAATCTCTCAAATACACGGGGTCAGGTAAACCGAATATGACACTGCATGATAACACCTATGTTTCATTTTCATGTCACTTCCAGATACTCGAGAGCAACTGAACCTATTGACGGCGTTCGTGGACGCCTCGAACGTCTACGGCCTTAGTGAGGATCAGATCAGTCATCTCAGGAACGGACGTAAGTCAGACATCATTTTGAAAAATATACTCATTAATGAAATACCAAATAAACAGAAGAATGATAAATTTTGACAAAAGACCCTCGAATATCATTGGTACATACAAATAAATGTTCTCATTCAACCTTTCAGCCTACATGAGAACCAAGGGAGATAACCTGTTGCCAGAATCAAACCATGGCGGCTGTCAAACAGACAATAGCAACGAATGGTGTTTTGAAGCGGGTGAGTACAAAGGATTAACTCAATTCATTGTAACATTCTCAGAGTCTGTTCATAATATTTATTCTTAAGTGAATGACAACAATTACCATCTCCAGTTTTGAATAATGTAGATTATTGGTTTCATAACATCATGAAAACCTGTAACATCATCTTCAGGTGACGACCGTGTGAACGTGTTCCCGGGTCTGTCTGTGCTACACACCGTGTTCGTTAGGGAACACAACCGTCTGGTCAAAGAACTTGCTGGTGTCATGCCATCGACCACCCCAGATGGTGTCCTGTTTGAAGAGGCCAGAAAGATCGTGTCAGCCATCATGCAACAAATCACCTACCGCGAGTGGCTACCCATTATTGTAGGGCCCTTCGCCATGAGGAAGTACAGACTGACCCCTGGCTATAGCTTCAGGTACAACTTCACCAAGAATCCCACCATCTACAACGTCTTTGCCTCGGCCGCCTTCAGATACGGCCACTCCACAATTCCACGTTTCGTGACCCTGGGAGATCGACGTGTACCCATAGAACAACTATTCAACAGACCTTCTGAGGTCATCAGAGATCTGGACACCGTTCTCAAGGCTCTCCTGAATGACAGACGTCAAGAGGTTAACCGCTTCATCAACAGTGGATTAACTGAACACTTGTTTGAGACGTCTGGCGATATGGGCTTTGACATCGTGTCCTTGAATATTCAGAGAGGTCGTGACCATGGCCTGCCATCATACAACAGCTTCCGCAAGGCATGTCGCCTACCGGAAGTCACGTCATTTGCAGACAGTGTATTTGGTAAAGCAGGAGCTGCTTTAAAAAGTGTATACAGGTATGTGTTTATCCAGTGACTGTTGTATGTTGTCTGAATTATCGTAACACATCTATGAAATACATTTACTTTAACCATTCCCTGTCATTTCTCACGACTAACTTGAGCCTGTTCTTGCTTCAGATCCCTGGATGACATTGATGTCTTCACCGGTGCAGTAGCTGAAGAACACGTGTCTGACGGAGCAGTGGGCCCTCTACTGGCTTGTCTCATTGGTCAACAGTTTAATGATCTCAAATATGGCGACTCATTCTGGTTCGAAACATCACATCCAAAAAAAGGCTTTACACCAGGTACAATCTTGCACGTATTCAGCGAGTATGTCTTGTAAAATGCATGTGTAAAGATATGTGTAGATTATAATATTTGATATACATTTAAGATGAATGCACTATACTGTTATTTACATTTTGTTGGTGTGATTTCGTAATCTAGACATCATTTAGTAGGTATGGTTCGCTGACAATAGTGTGGAAAGTGATACTATCTGTTTCTCTGCATATGTAGAAACATTTATCAACTGCATCTTATATTTCAGGTCAACTGTCTGAAATCCGACGAATGAGCTTTGCCAAAATTCTTTGTCGGAATTCAGGGCTCACGTCCATCCAAAGGGATCCTTTTACAGTGTACTCAGAAGAAAGGTAGGCATTAATTATCTTAGTCAGAATGCACCGTAGCATGCATGAGTGAGTGAGTTTGGTTTTACGCCGTACTCAGCAAGATTCCGGTTATAATAGGACGGCGGTCTGTAAATAATCGAGTCTGGACCAGACAATCCAATGATCAACAGTTTGAACATCTATCTACGCAACTGGGATACCATGACATGTGTCAAGCAAGTCAGCGAGCATCCGATCCCGTTAGTCGCCTCTTACGACAAGCATCTTGGTATTTGAGATCCATTCTATACAGTTGATGCACATTGAATATATACTACCCATCAAAAGTTTAGACTCACTTAGAGCACTCACTATATGTTCTGTATATATACATGTATATGGTTAAATCGAAGATTGATTGTTCCACTAACTTGGGGAACCAACTGCAAACCTTATGCAGATGAATTGCACAAGGATCATGCATCAAATTTCTGAAACGCAGGTGCAAATATCGTTCATCTGAACAGCTGTGTTTGGTGTAAAGTTTTGTTCAGAATTCGCCAATTTTCACTGAGTTTCATTATTTATTGAACTCATGATCATAATCTTTCAACGTTACTAATTTGTTTTACAATGCATCAGTTCATGTGTAAACGGAACCTATAAACAGTATGGAATATTTTGCAAAATCTAGTTGAGAACAGTTGACTGAAGTAAGTGGCTACACTTACACTAGTGAGTCTAATCTTTATGATAGGTAGTATACATAGCTTCTTTCAGTTATTTAGCATAAAACAATATCATACGATGTTTGCTGAGGGCAATAAATATATTATAATGTGGTGATACAATTCTGTATGTTTTAGCAATCCATTGGTACCCTGCAACGACCTTCCCACAATCGATTTAACCAAATGGCGGAGGTGAGAAGATGTTTGACCTGCCCTCACGTTGAAGAAAACGTTTTCCTTAGTGTGAGTTGTACCGACATGTACACCCACGTTAATGGTTTTGGTTTGTAAGATGCATTAATAACCTAAGGCCTTGCATAATAATATGAAATACATTGTTGCTGTTGTGCCCATATCAACTATCGTATGTGTGATTGTGTGGACAATTCGTATATCATCTTAAATAGAAATAATGTTGATTCATACTTGTGTTCAATAATGTATTAAATTCTATCGTTTTGCTTCATTTTACATATTTTATTAGCAATGAACTCATTATCGCTTGTATTTTTGCTTTCATAGTCTCTACTACTAAGTTCAATGGCGTCTTCATACGTTTCACATATGTTTGGTACCATAACATAGTTTCCAGGGTCTGACTCAGGTAGAACAAAACCCGAAGAGTTCGAACTTAACATTATCTTATTGTGAGTTGTTCCCACATGTACACGCCCACTGCTAGCTGGTTTGTAAGATGCATTAATCAATGAATAAGTGAAGTTTCAACATATTTGAATTGTCCTCTTACTATAAATGTAATTCCAAGTACATTTCGGTATCACCTTCTACAAATAATACTGAAAATAATAACCGGCATCTCGGATAAAATTATAATTGGGATGAATATTTACAGCTTAAGAAACCGGAATGCGTTGGTAACCAGTTAAATGAACCATTAATGACGCCGTCAGAATGTTTCATCATAGTGTACAACTAGCCATCGTATGGCGTTCAATGTCTCTAATAACTACATATTGACAGTATTAATATCCATAACATTGTATAAGTCTTCGATGGTATAATCATATTCTGTTTGTAAAACCCATTTCTGGTGTTCCCCGCCGTCATATTGCTGGAATATTGCCAAAAGCGGCGTAAAACCATACTCACTCACTCACTCACTCACTATTTGAAAAACTTTACATTATGTAAGGGGCTATTATACCTAAGGCCTTTATCCTTATATAATAATTGTTGCTGCCGTTCCATATCAGTTATGGCTAAGTGTAATCGTATGTACAGTTCATATATCATGTTGAATAGGAACAATGTCAAGACATTCTTGTATTCAATAATGTATTAAATTCTATCATGTTGGTTGATTTTACATATTTTACTTGTAATAAACACATTATTGCTTGCATTTTTGTTTTCTTCAATTATTTAAATTCATCTACCATATGGTAGGTAACAAATACAATAGCAAGGCAGCAGTATACATTTCATTCAGTGAAACAATACCAAATACTTATTGGACCTGTTTTGACTCTGTTGACAGTGTTAATTTATCACGTCAATGACCAGTGCCCACTTTACTGTCACGCTATATAAACCATATAAAGGTGTTGATTAATGTTATGGTGAGTCCTGTTGGCTTGGATATATTCCATTTTGCATATATTGCTTCGATAAAGACACCCAAAGTCAAGTAAAAACTCGCATTTGTTATGAAATTCACGAGGGATACGGTTCAGTTCACCGACCTCTTTTTCTCGTAACAGCCTTGGTGTACGCAGTTGTAACAGTCCCAATGTATACAGTCCACATCGTCAGACAGAGTGGTGCTTACTTTCGCATTATCACAGATTGTCTCCCATACACGCATGTGTTGTACCTAACCCCAGAGACGTTTCATACGTGCATATAAGGAAGAGAGCTTTATAGATGAATAAATGAAAAATTCTTTATTATGACGACCACACGCCTTCAGAGTGTATACTTAATCCTTCATCAGGTAATTCAAGGAGACTATTTAACGATATGTACATGTAAGAACAACAAAAGTAATAAGACAACAAAGGCGGAGGCTTCACTAGGGCGCAAACAGTTAACTGGCGTTGATTGGTGATTGGCAAAGGACAAATGGAAGCCAACGCTTAACAGTTAATTAGCGCTGAATGGAATCCTATACTTAGCAGATAATTAGCGCTGATAGGTGATGGCAACGGATAGCTGGAAGCCGGGTCTTCAATAATTGGCAATGAGAAAAGGGTAAACAGGAGGCAGCGGGTAATATGACTGATAGATAAGAACAATAGCAATGGGCAAATGGAATCAAAAACCAATAATTAACACAGACAATAATCAAAGCAATACGTCCCAAGCGCTGGCGGAGTTCAAATCTACTTTGTTAACAGAGGACAGATGTTCTTTGAGTCTGGTGTTATGGGGTCTGTGGGTTTCTCCATTGTATTGGTGGACAGGGTTGCAGGGGATCTGGTATAAACATTCCCTGGTCTTAGGGCTAGCGCTGCGGGGGCTTCCGTCATTGATTCGTAGACAGGTCTTGATGGTGTTGCCGCTAGAAAAAGTGACATCCATATTGGCTTTGTTCCTGATGAGACGTGAAATCTGTTGAGTGACAGTACCTTGGTAGGGTATGGTGATTCTGAAGGGTGGCGGGGCAGTTCTGGGTCCAGGATCGGAGTTCTCGGGGGTGTTGCGGATGGTTTGGGTCTATGATCGGAGTTCTTGGGGGTCTTGCAGATGGTTTGGGAGACTAGGTGGACAGGATAACTGTTGGAAATGAAGGGTTTTCTTGATATGGTCCAGTTCACTTCTGAGAACACCTGGATGGCATATGAATCCATGCATATGGTTCACATTGCCCCAGAAATTGCCCCGTACATAACTTCTTGCAAATAGTTCCAATTTTCCAGGTCAATGCTTCCTGGACGTACATAGGGGGAATTTATGCATTGACACAGGGTGCCTACATGCATGTAGTTAACATAACTACAGACAATGCTTCCTTTATGTATACAAACATACATGTCGAAATGATATTTGCCTTCATTTTTGAGCTCCTAACGTTTGTAAACAAATTCCCTATGCATAAAGGAATGCAGTTTTTCCTTAAGTTTGTCTCGTGGGATTGTTCAGTTCAGTTCTGTTCATTTATTCACCAAGACCACTCACAGTGGTACATAGTACAGTTATAGTGATACAGTAATATAGTATACAGTAATGCAGTATAGAATTTTACAATTATGTAATAATGGTACGAGGCAATATCATTGAAATGTTGAAAGTTTTACATACATACATGTAATATATTTGCTTAGCTTATCTACAATTGTGTAATACCTTTCCATAAAGAGACTATGCAGTTTAAAGTAATGAGGTCTTGTACAACAATACTTTGGTAATAACTTGTTTCTATATCTGCTAATAAAGAATTACACTCAAATATACTAGGCACATAAGGAAACTGTGCATACAAAAATTTAAAATCTAAATTTATCAAACCTGTGTCGACACATAAGGATTCAAACTCAGATATTAGTGACATGTATCCAACATGCATGCACGTGCCACGTTCCGTGACGTCACTGGGTTCGTCCTTGAGACGTGCAATACGTTGTTGCACGTGCATTCCGGGAAAGGAGAAACAGAGCAAATGAATGCCACACAATACTGTCACTTTGGAAAGCTCAACCCCTGCCCTTGCGATCGTTCAAAAAATTAAACGGCTATTGAAACGCATAGCGGGCGGTGGGGTAGCCTAGTGGTTAAAGCGTTGGCTCGTCACGCCGAAGACCCGGGTTCGATTCCCCACATGGGCACAATGTGTGAAGCCCATTTCTGGTGTCCCCCGCCGTGATATTGCTGGAATATTGCTAAAAGCGGCGTAAAACTAAACTCAGTCAGTCAGTCAGTCAGAAACGCATAGCATGCCAAGGCTCACGTCTGCACAACGTCATGATGCCATTGGGATGGTCCGTGGGGGAATGTCTCAACGACAAGTGGCTGCACATTTCCACTGCCACCGGAACACCATTTCTGCACTGGTGAGACGCTACCAGAACACAAATGACGTCATCCATCGGTCACGTTCTGGACGTCCACGCGTAACAACGCCAAGTCAGGACAGATGGATAAGGGTGACCCATCTGCGCCACAGGTTTCAGACTGCAGTGATGACTGCCCGAACCATCCCAGGACTTCGCCGTATCCACCCCAACACAGTTCGACAACGTTTACGTCAACACGGGATCAGACCACGACGTCCCGCCATACGCCTATCCTGACACAACGTCATCGACAAGCTCGCCGAATGTGGTGCCGAAATCATGTCCGCAGACCCTTGTTTTGGTGGAGAAATGTTGTTTTTACAGATGAGTCCAGGTTGAACATTCCCCACAGTGATGGACGTCAACGTGGGAGAACGTTATGCACAGGCCTGTGTCTTGGAGAGGAATCGCTTTGGTGGTGGTTCCGTGATGATTTGGGCTGGAATAACAGCACGCCAAAGAACTCCTTTAGTGATTGTTTAGGGCAACTTAACTGGTGTGGGCTACAGGGATCAGATTCTTCGACCTGTGGCAATTCCTTTTCTGCAACGTCATGGCCCTGGGTTAACATTCCAACAGGACAATACCCGCCCTCATACGGCAAGGGTTGCTATGGATTTCTTGCAACACCACAACGTTGACTTACTGACTTGGCCTGCAAATTCACCGGATCTCTCCCCGATAGAGCATGTTTTGGACGAGACGGATCGACGTCTACGCCGTCTTCCTCATCCGCCAGATAACGTCCTTGACCTTGCAACAGAACTTGAGAAAATCTGGCGTGACATCCCGAAAGCCTTCCTTGCACGTTGGATAGGCTCTATGCGTCGTCGATGCACTGCTGTTCTCAATGCCGATGGTGGACATACCCGTTATTGAGCTTGTGACATGGTCGTTTGACCCCTGTCCCGCTTGTGGACTCGTGACGTCATTGTGATAGACTTTTCAATTGAAATTCTCCCGACTTATTATGGTTTTATGATCCCTCCATTGAAGTTTATATGTACCTTTGACATTTTTATCGTACTTATCGACTGGGATAATATTTTGACAATGCACACTTTCTTTATGTGGCTAGTATATATAGTGGTACTCATCACCCACTTCACCGGAGTTACTCATCAAACACTTTCGGTATTTAAAAGGGACATGATATCAGCGTCCTACTTCAACAGGGAGCCTAGTGTTACCACTTCTAAACTTCAAAAGCGGTTATGAAACTCTAAATGGTAATAAAATGTAGTCTTCAGCACCTAAAAAACGGTTATATACAATCATATGTTTTACCTTTAAACGATAAAGATTTTTCGTATTGCTATTGTGTTATAAACTGATCTGTTAGATTTTGTTCAACTTTACAGATTAGCCAATTTCTATTAATACAATTCTGATTATACCAGATATATGATAATCCACACTCATCTAAAATAGATTTAACATAATGTAGCCAAGCTGGTTGGTATTCCGTACAACTGTCAACTGCTAATAAATTAGTGTACACTTTACGTGTAAGTCTATTTTGGTTTTCATTATCTAAAATTTTACACCAATGGGATAATACTCCTTTTTGGACATTAATACTTAAAGGCAGGCGTCCAGTCTCGCCGTATAACATATAAGCCGGGGTACTTTTACGTAGATAAAACACCTTCTTAATAAACAATCTATGAACTAATCTTTTCAAACCTACAAGGGCCCCATATCTCACAAGCATATGATAATATTGGTACAACCATATGGTCGAATGCTTTAAAAAGTGTAAATTTCTTGCTTTACCAAAACATTGCTTTCAGGCCTTGTTCTCTTAGAGAATTAATGGCAGTATTTTATTTCCGATTCTTATGAAAATTTATTCCATGGTAAATACATGTGTCAGACGTGTTCAAAAGTACGTCCTGTACAAAGTCACCATGTCACATAATCTCAGTTCTAAATAAGCACGTAAACGTGTGTTTGAGTGAGTGAATTGGGTTTTACGCCTCTTTTAGCAATATTCCAGCAATATCACGGCGGGGGATACCAGGAATGGGCTTCACACATTGTACCCATGTGGGGAATCGAACCCGGGCCGTCGGCGTGACGAGCGAACGCTTTAACCACTAGGCTACCCCACCGCCACACTTGTGTTTGAACCAACATACATTGGTATAAGTAGCTTGTGTTACTTCTTGTGATCAAATGAAACATGGTTACAGACTGTACCTTTGAATGAAAAAATAACTATAATTGATATCATTAATCCGCATACGACTGTGAAGAATCATTTCCCGGTAATCAGTAAAAACGATATATGGTCGTTATGCATCGGTGTTCCAGCCATGCTTGTTGCTGAAGCAGAATATGCCTTAATCCTCTGTCACTGAGGATAATCCGAGATAGGTTTACACACTGTTTTGATAACAAACGTTAATCAAAAGTCAGGGATTATTTTATCGAATGGTGGTACTTTGGGCGTGTTTTCATCAATTGTAACCGCTCTAAAGTGTCGTATTAAAAATCAGTAATGTGACAACTGGAAATCCGCTTTTCATCAGGAGTTGTTCTTGGTGTGTACTGAAGGCGGGTGCTTGGAGACAAATATATTAAAGTTGTTACCACGTTTTATGTCGTAAGGATATTCCAGTCAAAGCAATAAGTGAAATAATTCCCATAAACTATGGTTCTATCATAGATGGTATAACGAAAAAGCCAATCAAACATTTTATAGATAATAGGACCTTACGTTTTCCAGTTACCACTACCACTACCATTTAAACGGACCCCCTTAAAATCCCCACTGGGATGTCGCTTGGTAAAAGTGTGGTGTTCAACTGAAGATGTACCCACAGAGCACTCATTTCCCAATTTTACATCAGTAATCTCACAGTTATTGTCTAGAGAAAGCCATATATCCTCAATGTAGCAAGACCACAGAAGGCAGAAGTAATATTCAAGTCGACATAAATTACTGATGTGCAAGCTAAGATGATATGATAGAACGACATATTCCGGGTAACGTGGCTCAAAAAATGAGTTTATCATTCAGTTACTGAAACATTTGTTGGAACACTTTCACTCGATTCCGTTACAGCCACATAACTAGGACATATCTCTCAACGATGCATCTCACAAACACCTCCTGATGCGGATCAGATTACCAACTGTCTAGCTACTGAAGTCGATTCACGACACCAAGAACAATGGTGGTAATGACGTAGCTCCGGGATAATCAGCCAGCGTCGGCATAATCCAAGATGTGTGACTCCCCCTGTGTAGAGATGTCGGATTATGCCTACCAGGGGTCAGTCGATCATACGGTAATCTGTGTCGACTTAATCCAGGAATATGAGTATATATACAAGGCCCATATTATGGTGCATCAGACGTTCCCACTGTGTACTGGTAGAAGCAGAAACGATGAAAGTGCTGTTGTTTGTGTGCATCTTGACGGTGGTGTCTGCTGGGGAGGCGGACACGGAGGTAAGCTGGATCTTCCCTTCTTCTTCATCTTCACTGTTGTGTTTCCTTCTTCTTCTCCTTCTTGGTCTTCTTTTCGTTCTTGTTCTTTCTTTGTCATCATCGTTATCATAATCATGATGCGGTCCTTGAATGTGTGTAGAAATCAGTATGTATTTATCATGGTATAGATTTGTGGTTCTGAAGTTGGCTTCTCTCGTCACGTTCAACGTTACAGGTGGATATCTTGCTTTTTTAAAAACACCACTTCTGTTTTATCCCAGGTTGATCGTTAAACCTATGTTACCTGTTTCCTTTTAGGTTAACAACATTGATTCCGTCATTGAGCAGCGTAAGTAAAGTTTTATTAACACTTGAAAGCAATAGTAACACGTACTATAAAACTATTTTAGCTCCCCGTACCTAGGTATATATGACGCAGCAAGCATTATGTTAAATATTTCATTTATAAATATGTCAACATTTCTGCTTAATATAATCCTGACTGCTTCAATATACATATGAATATTTTATATGTTGTAATATATTTCTTCCCAAATAGAACACGTGTTTATGTACAGATGTCATGCCTGTATCAGCTGATTGAGTAACTTACATTCCCTTCAGTCAGGGCGGTACAATCAGATCTGGCTGGAATCAACCATAAGACCCACACAACCATGGATCATGAGAGGCAAACTTCACCATCGACTTCGGGTGACCGACAAGAAAACGTTAATGGCCAATCGTCAGATAGAGAAAATAGACTAATGGACATCATGCGAAGAATTCTGCATGGTAAGAAGTCTCATTGTTCTACATTCTAAGATGCCTAGCGGTTAGAACAATCGAAAAAAAAATACATTATCAGACAATAAAGGTATAGTTTTTGATGACGTAACAATTGCATGACGTTATCCCGTCACTGCGCCATTCTAGTGTGCCCCCTCGTAATCGAACCATTTTACATTACGTCACAATGTAAGCGACGTCACGATGCATGTCAGTTGTCATCGCCTCGTACGGCCTCCTACAGTAAACTACACCGTTGCATCCAGTTTCTTGGTTTGCTGTTGCTTCACGCAGCTAACATCACTGGTGGAAACATTACGTTTATGTTTTACGACGGTTAAAATGTGTCATTTCGACTCACAAGTTTTCAGCGACACGGTTACGTTCGTAATGTTTACATTCCCACAATGCAATTGTGGAATGTCGCTTGACTACTCAACTTCCTCTGGATGTACTGATCTAAACTTACGCTGGTAGTAGAAATGCAACGTTCATATTGCCCCATATGGTTTACGTTAATGACAGATGTAATTAAAATAATTCAGAGAAGATATTTAATCCGAACGTAAACCGTCATCAAACTGTTATCATTTGTTTTTCTGGTAACGTTCGTCTTAACGTAGGGGGCAGACACATCAATAAAACAGCGCGCCAGTTAGCCCTGTGCGAGGATTCTTAATTTAGGTCACCGACACCGTCGTTTGTTTTCTACCTTAAATTAATCGTAATTATCTTTAGAAAGTATTAAATTTGGCATCTTAGAAAAGAAATACAGTTCGCCCTACCACCATGTATAGTGTAATAAAACACACTTTCGCCCTGAACTATTATAACGTTAAAGCACTCGGACGCAAGCGTTCTCGTGCTTTAACTATAATAGTTCAGGGCAAAAGTGTGTTTTATTACACTATACATGGTGGTAGAGCGAAGTGTATTTCTTAATTAAGACGTTCGAAAAGTGTGTCATTATTAACAATCTGACAACTTGGTTAACTGACAAATCAAACTGGTCATATTCTACTTATTGTCGGGAACTTCTTAATAGTCTCTGCCAATATTAAAGCAGCCCTTACGTGTATGCAACGAATTAAAATGAGCTCTAAAACTCTTTTGAAGCAATATGACTTATAAGGGACATTGTATTCCAAACTGTTTCAGAGGTTGGAACATTTCTGACATTACGCCTCTTGTAACATCATATTAATTTTAAATTTAAGACTAGTCATCAGTTCAGCGATGTTAAGACAGCGGGTCAGTGAGTTAATGCCTTTATCTTGACGTAGGTGATGATGAAGACAACAATTATGTTGTCTGTACACTGGCTGACGCTGCCGAGACGTCTCAGATCTCACTGGAAGACATCAGCAAGTCCAAGTACCAAGAGAAACACAACATCAGGTCAGTTACGCATCTCCCGGTACGATAGTTGTATTTCAAGTTATGGCTTCCGCTACTATAACTTTTAGATTTCAACTTCAGACAACTTCATTTGAAAGCTGAGTGTTTAATGCATTTGATACCAGTTATTATTAGCCTTGACAATGCGAACTACTTTTACAGACGGCGCTCCACCGACTGCCAACCAGGAGCCCGCTACCGGACAATGGACGGAAGATGCAACAATGCTCGATGGCCAACCTGGGGATCAACCAATCAACCATTCAGGAGATTTATTGATCCTGCTTATGATGATGGTAATGCATCGGTTGTCTTTAATAACATATATTTCATGTATAAGAACTTAAAGTTGATGATTTCATGTTAATAATCAAGGTGATTCTTGACTTTGAATGGCATTTAGAAGTGATACACATAGGGTAGAGAGTCTTTTAAGGATGTCCACTTCTTTATTATGAGGAACACAACGTGAATGATGAAGCAAGGAATGAAAATTTTCTCCCTCAAAGTAATTCATGATCATACCTGACTATTTGACCTTGCATACCTGCAGGTTTTCTGTTGTGTTAACCATTCCTGGCAATGATTGGACTTTTTCATGTGGACATTCAGTCATTCCGTTATTAGTATTATAACTGACTACACGTTTTGCAGGCATGTTTGTTCCTCGACTGAGCGGCGTTGATGGTAATCCTCTCCCCAGTCCACGTGCTGTCAGTGTGGCCGTACATCCGGGTACTGACCGTCCTTCTGACGACAACACAGTGATGGTGATGCAGTGGGGACAGTTCCTGGACCACGACCTCACCGGAACTCCTCTCCATGCAGGTGGGTGTCAGGTGTCTAATGATCCAATATCAAAAGATATATTGCGAAGAATCATTGTTGGTAATATGTATCAGTCAAGATTGTATTAAACTGGAGGTGGTTTGCCATGACTTGATGTTGTCCAGAAGGGGGACCTAAGAAATTGAAATCAAATCTATTTCCTTTTTGTAAAACGAATTTCCATCACTTTCATCATTACGATGTTCACCTTAATCTGAGTATTCATTTTTCTAATCCATATATTTTTTTCAAGGTGATGTTCAAACTAAATGCTGCGATGGTCACTCACCTGGTCAGCTTCATTCTGACCATCAACAGTTACTGATCATCAAAGTTGTAACATCCACATCACAAACAGACTATTTGAATTAATGATAATTAAAGCCATAAAACACTTTATTTAGCATTAACGTCAACTGTACTATTCTGAATATATCAAAAAGACATGTATAAAATAACATGTTAGCATTACCATAACATTGTTTAATTGGAACGACTGTCCCTTTTACTCTTCCATGTTCCAGGGGTCCTTGTTTCCCAATCACCATGCCATCCAATGAACCTCATTTCCGAAAGAACTGCATGGAGTTCAAAAGATCAGCTCCAGCACCTGGAACGAGTGAGTATATAAAGACTAAGATGTGGATATTACCTAGGCTGTGGATATTACCTTAGCCTAATATGGGACTGTACTACCATCACCAATCTCTCAAACACACGAGTTTAAGTAACAAAACACCGAAAACGACACTGCATTATAACACCCATGTTTCATTTTCACGTCACTTCCAGATACACGGGAACAGCTGAACCTACTGACGGCGTTCGTGGACGCCTCGAACGTGTACGGCCTTAGTGAGGATCAGATCAGTCATCTCAGGAACGGACGTAAGTCAGACAGTATTGTGAATCAGATGCTCTTCTATGAAAAACCAAGCAAACAATACAATTATCAATTTTGACAGAAGACCCTCGAAAATCATTGGTACATACAAATAAATGTCGTCATTCAACTTTTCAGCCTACATGAGAACCAAGGGAGATAACCTGTTGCCAGAATCAAACCATGGCAACTGTCAAACAGACAATAGCAACGAATGGTGTTTTGAAGCGGGTGAGTACAAAGGATTAACTCTAATCGTTGTAACATTCTGAGAGTCTGTTCATAATATTTTTTCTTAAGTGAATGACAACAATTACCATCTCCAGTTTTGAATAATGTAGATTATTGGTTTCATAACATCATGAAAATCTGTAACTTCATCTTCAGGTGACGACCGTGTGAACGTGTTCCCGGGTCTGTCCATGCTGCACACCGTGTTTGTTAGGGAACACAACCGTCTGGTCAAAGAACTTGCTGATGTCATGCCATCAACCACCCCAGATGTTCTGTTTGAAGAGGCCAGAAAGATCGTGTCAGCCATCATGCAACAGATTACCTACCGCGAGTGGCTGCCCATTATTGTAGGGCCCTTGGCCATGAGGAAGTACAGACTGACCCCTGGCTACAGCTTCAGGTACAACTTCACCCAGAATCCCACCATCTACAACGTCTTTGCCTCGGCCGCCTTCAGATACGGCCACTCCACCATTCCACGTTTCTTGACCTTGGGTGATCGACGTGTACCCATAGAACAACTATTCAACAGACCTTCTGAGGTCATCAGAGATTTGGACACCGTGCTCGAGGCTCTCCTGAAGGACAGACGTCAAGAGGTTAACCGTTTCATCAACAGTGGATTAACTGAACATTTGTTTGAGACGTCTGACAATAAGGGCTTTGACATCGTGTCCTTGAACATTCAGAGAGGTCGCGACCATGGTCTGCCATCATACAACAGCTTTCGCAAGGCATGTCGGCTACCGGAAGTGACCTCATTTGATGATAGTGTATTTGGTAAAGCGGGAGCTGCTTTAAGAAGTGTATACAGGTATGTGTTTATCCAGTGACTGTTATATGTGCTCTAAATTAATGTAACATATCTATGAAATACAGTTACTTAAACCATTCCCTATCCTTTCTCAAGGCCTATTTAAGTCTGTTCTTGCTTCAGATGCCCGGATGACATTGATGTCTTCACCGGTGCAGTAGCTGAAGAACACGTGTATGACGGAGCAGTGGGACCTCTACTGGCTTGTCTCATTGGTCAACAGTTTAATGATCTCAAATATGGCGACTCATTCTGGTTCGAAACATCACATCCAAAAAAAGGCTTTACACCAGGTACAATCCTGTCTGTTTTTCACTTATACAGCGTTTATGTCTTGGTAAATGCTTGTCAAAATATGGTAGATTATGATATTTGATAAACCTTTAAGATCAATGTGCTATACTGTTATTTGAATTTTGTTTGTATGATTTCGTTAATCTAGACATCGCTGACGATAGTGTTGAAAATGTGATACTATCTGTTTCTCTGTAGATGTAGAGAAATTTATCAACTGCATCTTATATTTCAGGTCAACTGTCTGAAATCCGAAGAATGAGCTTTGCCAAAATTCTTTGTCGGAATTCGGGACTCACGTCCATCCAAAGGGATCCTTTTACAGTGTTCTCAGAAGAAAGGTAAGAAAATGAGGACATCTATCTGTTCTCACCGTAGCATGAGTGAGTGAGTTTAGTTTTACGCCGCACTCAGCAATATTCCTGCTATATGGCGGCGGTCTGTAAATAATCGAGTCTGGACCAGACAATCCAGTGATCAACAGCAAGAGCATCGATCTACGCAATTGGGATACCATGACGTGTCAAGCAAGTCAGCGAGCATCCGATCCCGTTAGTCGCCTCTTACGACAAGCATGGGTTACTGAAAATCAATTGTAACCCAGATCTTCACGGGTACTGTAGCATGAGGATATATTTTCCTTATTTCATGCATTTGTTGGAACGACATACAGTCACTTGATGTGTGACCAATATATATTTCAGTAAAAGATAATAATTTGTGTACTCGGGACACATTCTGTGATGCACGTTGAACAGGCCTACCAAAGAAAGCTTTCCCACTGTGCAGAAAAACGCAGAAAAGCCCACATTAATCGTGGAAATAGTAACATAAACACATTACCTCGCTACTGAAACAGTAAAAAACTGCAACGAAAAACTATGAAACTGCAACATTTTCATGGTTTTCATAGTTATCAGCGAACTTTGACCTCTACTGCGCATGCGCATTACGATCCGGGCTTCTTTCCAATTTCCGAGCAACCGTGAATCGCCTCGCGTAAAAAAAGTATTAAATATGTCGAAATAATTGCTGTCAATTGTTTCATACGAATGGAAAGTAAACTAAACAAGTGTGCACACAAGTATCATGATGATATATGCCAAATTACACAACAGAAATACTTAAAAAGGAATGTAACTTTTGTCCAAGCTGGAAAATGTCAACATGCAGTCGAGAATTCCTCTTCCATGTGCGCATGCGCAAAATCGAAGTTGCGGGCTCCTCGTTTTATGATGCAGTGTTAGCGATTTAAAGTTGCCGTTTTCACTGTTTCAGTAGCGAGGTATGATGTTTATGTTGCTCTTTCCACGATTAATGTGGGCTTTTCTGCGTTTTTCTGCACAGTGGGAAAGTTTTCTTTGGTAGGCCTGTTGAATATGCATAGCTTCTTCAGTTATTGAGTATACAAATGTCTAACAATATCACATAATGTGTGTTTTAGCAATCCCATGGTACCCTGCAACGACCTTCCTACAATCGATTTAACCAAATGGCGGAGATGATTGACCCGCTCTCACGTCAAAATCCGAAGACTTCAACATAATATATAACCTTAGTGTGAGTTGTACCGACTTGTGCATCCAAGCTAATGGTTCTGGTTCGTAGATGCTCAATAACTGAAACCTTTGAATCTCCACCATACTAAACATGTAATTCAAAGTACATTTAGCAACCGCTTTCCAAAATTTTTGCTAAAATTATTAACTGAAAGCTCAGAAACAATTATGATTGTTTCTGATACTTACACTTCAAGATACCTGAATGAGTTGATAACCAATTAAATTCAGTGATGCCATTTAATCATTGTTTACAATAAGCCATTGCATGGCGTTGATGATTTCTTATATTAGTATTTACGGTATAAGTATTGATGACACATGTTAATTTCATCGAGAGTGTAATCATATTCTAGGTGGAAGACTTGCATTTGTTCTAGACCTTATACTTGGATTTTAAGGTGTATATAATATGTCAAGGCCTTATATGGTAATGTGTAATATATTGTTGCTGTCGTTCCCATATCAAGTATCGCTAAGTGAGATCCTGTCAACCATTCATATATCATGTTTAATAGAAATAGTGTTGATAAATACTTGTGTTCCATCATGCATTAAATTGTATTATGGTTATTTTTTTAATAAACACGTTGTCTGTTGCTTTACTGTTTCATAGTCTTTTCATTTGTTGATTTTGTTTACTTCATTTGCCTATTGGTAGGTTGAATGGCGCCTTGATACGTTTCACATATGTTTGGCACCATAGCACAGTTTCATGGATCTGACTCGGGTGGAACAAAACCCGAAGACTTCGACCATGATATTTCCTTATTGTGAGTTGTTCCGACATGTACACCCACACTGATGGTTCTGGTTCTTAAGATGCATTATTACCTTCTACAAATAATGCTGATATAGTAACCGGCATCTCGGATAAAATTATATATAATTCGTATAATCATAATTATAACAGCTTAAGAAACCGGGATGAGTTTAACCAGATGAATATAATCATTAATGATGCCATCAGAATGTTTCATCATAGTGTACAGCTAGCCATCGTATGTCTCTAATATCTATATATTGACAGTATTAATATACTGACATTGCATATTATATATATTGACATTCTTCGATATAATCATATTCTAATTGTAAAACCCATTTCTGGTCATACTGCTGGAATAAAGCTAAAAGCGGCGAAAAACCATACTCACTCACTCACTATTTGTAAAACTTTACATTATGTTGTAGATGTATGTAAGGGTATATTATATCCAAATCCTTTATCATTGTATAATAATTGTTGCTGTCGTTCCCATGTCAACTATAGCTAAGTGTGATCGTGTGTACAATTCATGTATCATTATGAATAGAAACAATGTTGACACATTTTTGTGTTCAATAATGTATTAAATGTTGGTCGATTTTACATTTTTTACTTGTAATAAACTAGCAATGGCTGCATTTGTGCTTATTTCCCATTTATATTAATCCATCTACCGTTTGGTAGATTCAATGGCGCCTTCATATGTTTCACATAAGTGTGGTACCATAACATAGTTTCCAGGAAACAAATTGTTGACAATACACCTTATATACACATCTCTTTTCTCTAACACTCACTCCTATACGCACATGCATAAGATCGTGTGTACATTAGCATAGGGGGTGCCTCCTTTCCAAGCAAATACGGTAGCATACATTGACCCATGCATTGCTTCCAATTGTCCAAAACAGTGCTTAATGTAAGTTCATATAGTATACGTTGTATTAAACAGTGCTTCTTGTACAGTCATATAGTACACATTGTCCAGACAGTGATTCCTGTACATTGTCCCAAACAGTGCTTCTTGTACAGTCATATAGTACACATTGTCCAGACAGTGATTCCTGTACATTGTCCCAAACAGTGCTTCTTGTACAGTCATATAGTACACATTGTCCAGACAGTGATTCCTGTACATTGTCCCAAACAGTGCTGCCTGTAGATTCATATGGTACACATCGTACAGTATGTTTTTCTATTCGTTCCTGTTGGTCTCCATTTACCCAGCTAGTGCTTCCTCCGTGTAGTTCCCATTGTCCAGGATATTGTTTCCTGTACATGTATACAAGGGTTTCACTTCTCTCTAATCTTCTCCCTAATCTTTCATTTCCTTATGAGCGGCAAGTACATTTAACGTCTGAAAAAATAATTGATGACAAAACATTTTTTTTTAAATCTAGAGTATAAGCTTTTACCCTCTGGCCGCTGCCAATCACCACGACTAAACGAGCTCGAACGTCTTTTATTAAGTATTGCAATTTTAAATAAACGTTGAATGTCCAGTTATCACTTATTTTTAAGCACATATTTATTTCTTTTTATATTTTCAGTAATTCATATTTTATGTTGTGATTCATTTGTATTTTTCTCAAGTTCTGTGGGCCAGAACGAATTTCTTTTAAGGTAATATAGTAAAGTATTCTCTATATAGTTCACACTGTATCAAACAGGGCTTCCTGTTCAACAAAATAGTTCACAATGTATCAAACAGGGCTTCCTGTACAATCATATAGTTCACACTGTAACAAACAATGCTTCCTGTACAATCATATAGTTCACACTGTAACAAACAATGCTTCCTGTACAAATATATAGTTCACACTGTAAGAAACAGGGCTTCCTGTACAATCATATAGTTCACACTGTATCAAACAGTGCTTCCTGTACAATCATAAAGTTCACACTGTATCAAACAGTGCTTCCTGTACAATGATATAGTTCACACTGTATCTGTATCAAACAGTGCTTATTGTACAATCATATAGTTCACACTGTACCAAACAGTGCTTCCTGTACAATCATATAGTTCACATTGTACAAAACAGTGCTTCCTGTATAATCACATAGTTCACATTGTACCAAACAGTGCTTCCTGTACAATCATATAGTTCACATTGTCTTAAACAGTGCTTCCTGCACAATCATATAGTTCGCACTGTATTAAACAGTGCTTACTGCACAATCGTATAGTTCACATTGTACCAAACAGTGCTTCCTGCACAATCATATAGTTCACACTGTACCAAACAGTGCTTCCTGTTCAACAATATACTAACTTCACAAGGTAACAAACAGTGCTTCCTGTTGAAAAATATGGTGCACGTTATAGCTAAAATGGATAGAATTATCATTAAAACGCCCGCATGCTATCAGAAATGAGCCGGACACTGTAACTTTATAATGCCCCCAAATTGCTTGACGGCGGGCCATTATCAGGCCCGTTGTTAGTTGACGGCATAAGGAGCTCAGCTCTTGATGTTCAATCATTTACGGCTCGTTTGAATTTGGGTTCAATATTGACAATATTTCTGACTCACATTCATCACATGTGCAACCTTAAAAATTGTACCATAAATTACAACATGCAGCAATAAAAACATCGACTGGAACTCTAGCGTTGTTGAGCATTGAAGAAAATGTCGGCTGGTAGTATGGGCGAAGGTCAAGGTCGAATGTCGTCACGCTCAACGGTGACGTCATCTGTTTTGTTCTATTATGTTTGTTGTTAGCAGTAGATGTTTCAAAACCGATACCGATTTTTCTTTTTATTCATTGTATTGAAAATTATAAAGCTATAATAACGGTATATGAGGGTAACGCTATTTTTCAGGGCATTATCATTTTCAGAAGCCCTCGGTCTTTTCAACTGCCCTTCTTTCGTCGGGCACTTAATGTAAGACCTCGGGCTTCTGCAAATGATAATGCCCTGGAATATAGCGTTACCCTCATATTGTAACAAGTGCTGCTTTCCTTAGTTCACATTGTGACAGTTCTTCCTGTTCAACAATATACTTCAC